GGCAGCCTCCTGTACTCGTTTGTTAGCATCCAACACTCGCTTAAGCAACTACAATGTACAATGTCATGGCATTATTTAAACACAGCTTAAGCAAAAGTAAAGTAAGAGAGTTTTCTACTTTTCAGCTACTTCAAAATTTTTTAGTTTTAATTGAATCTGAATTAAATCCAATATTTTTAAAAAAAATTAGAATTCCTTTTATGCATATACATGTATCTATTCTTGTTTCACATCAAATCCTTTTTATTCAGTACTTTAATCCTTAAAAATGTAACTTTTATCAAATATCTGATTATGTACCTCTGTCATCAGGGGTTTAAGGTACATCTCGTGTGGCTGACCGACCACCCAGTGGGCGTATCGACTGAGTGTCCAGCATGTGATGGATCGAACCAGGGCTTTCTTGTCACTGAGGCAGCCAATCAGATAGGGGGTCAGCTCGGGGAGGTGAGGAATCATTCCATTCATACACCCTTCAGCAATGGCCCCCAGAACTAAGATTCCTGATTCCTTCACCTCCCAGTCTGCATGGAACAATGTCTCCTTGAGGATTGGTAAAAGTGTGGGTAAGATCTCCTCACGGAACACATTGGCCAACACATCCAGGGCTGCAGCTGAACACTTCCCTGTGAAAAGAAACAAATCAATGTATATATAATACATGTATATTCAAAGAACTGATTAATCACAAATCTTTATATTTACATCAAAGGAACCACCATAATGAGATTTTATTATGATTTTTTAAGACACTTTTCATGTACATTATGCATTGGCATTTAAATCTGTAAATGCTTTATATTCACTTTTTGAACAGCATATTACTTTAAATAAAACAACATACTTAGATTCCAGTCAGACAAGTTGTCATCATCATCGAATCCATCATCTGACCCCTCTCCATCCTGTCAACAACAAGAACAGTAGTCTTAAAATCAACAACAGTACTACTGTCAGTAGTCTTAAAATTAACAATAACTGCATTAAAATCCTATCAGTTATCAAGTTCATTCAAACTGTTCATGAGCTTTGTGTCTCCTTCTTCTATAGAACCTAAAACCTAATCATGCCTACCTCATCTCCCTCCTGATGTTTCTGGGTGTGGGACCTGGATTTGTGAAATCTTGGCTTGATGTCTGATTCCTTGTCTGGGATCATTTCGTCTTCTTCAACATCACCCTACATGACAAAATATTTAAAAATTTTATACAGGAAAATACAGAGATGAAAGCAACACTAAAAGCACTTCTTTTTCACTGTGTGATATTTTCATGTATTACCTTGAGTAGAATGATGTCGATTTCCGAGTATCTCATTCCCTTGACAAGGATTGGAATCAGTCTCTCTATGTGAGGTTGGAGTACATCTTTACAGATGGGCTGCTCAGCCAGAGAAAGCCAGAACTCACAGGCCTCAAGAGCTACAGAATCATCATCATCCTGTGTTCTCAACATCATGTACTGAAAGTTAACAGGTAAAACATTGCATGAAAATATGCATCTTAAAAATCATTCTGTCAATATATCTTACAGTGGCATTTTTATGTATCTTTGACTTCAGTACCTACCATATATACTAATTAAACACTTCAAAACAATTAAAAAATAATTGATATTTTCTCTATGATAAAGCAAAAGTGTGTCTTTAATGAAGAGACACTACCTCTAAAAGAAGTAGACATTGCCCCATAGTATTAAGACATTACCTCTATAATACTATTGATGTGAGGAATAAGTCTATCCATGCGGACCTCGACTAGCATGACCAGAGCTCTACAAACATTCTTCCTGACTTCTGTGTCTTCATCCGTTGCCAGGAAAAACAAATTCTACAAAAGAGAAGTCACAAATTCTGTAATCAAACTTCACTACTTGTTGGTTTTAACCACAGGTTTGAGCAATCTGTTGAATCTGTTGACTGTTATCTGTTGAATCTTTAACAATCTGTTATATGGAGGGAATTCTAAATGTTGTCTCCTAAACATGAATGTTCTCCTACAAACCTCAATAAAGCTGTCTATGTGAACCATCAAGGCCTGGGTCCTACTGATGATAAACTGGTTTACACAAGCAATGGCGTGGGACCTAGAGAGAATCAAATGTATATACACATTTCTGTCCTGTCCTTATAGAATAGGCACCAAGAAGGAATACTAGATTTAACAATCCAATTTTAATATGAATAGTTATAACAAAGCTTGCCCATGTTGGCTTTACCTAATTTTAGCACTGTTGTGTTTGAAGAACTGTAGGAATTTAGGGATGAGGACATTGAGGGGCCTGGTGCTGTCATTGTCCAGATCCTCCGCCGTGTCCTCACAGATCTTCTGTAGGGCACCAAACGCTCCCTGAAATCACATAAAAATACGAAGATCAATGCTAGTAATCAGGTTTACAGTCCTCACAAATCTTCTGAAGGGCACCAAACGCTCCCTGGAACCCAGTAAAAGACCAATGTTAGTAGTCATGTCTATATTCATTGTCCTTACATATTAAAGCAGGAAATCTGACAAAATACTCCTCTACTCCATCTCCCAGCCCCCGTGTATTTTCTTACCTCACACACGTTATAGTCTTCAGAATCCAGACAGTTACACAGAGTGGGCAACAGCTCCGGCCAATTACGCAGCTCTCCCTTAGCGACGATCGTAGTTATCAAGATTCCAATAGTAGCTCTTATCAATGGAGATGGATTGCCGATGCTAGATAAACATTCCGCCTTGATGAAGCTGGTCACCTCTGGGGGGAACTTGTCAAAGTGAGCTTTTACATTGTTTTTCAAGATCAGTCCACTTAGAGATCTGGTTGGTTCATCTACAATCACGTCAATGTTATTACATTAGGTTGTATTTATACAGACATAACTTTAAAGTTTAGATATAAATGTGGATAAATTAAAAAAAAATCATAATGGTACCTTAATTCAATGTACTTTGACTATGATAGGGGGGAAATAAGTATGAAGATCTTAGGGGCCCACCTAATAAATGTTATCTACTTGTACTGTTTTTATACTAAAGAAATGTTCAAGAAGATACAATAGTCAAAGTTTGTGCTACAATGTTATGCAATTATATAAGAAGTTATACACATGTAGTTCATCTGAAATACAACTGAAAATCATCCCTTAAGGCTTTGATGATAAAAAAAATTGTTTGTTTCCTGTTCCCCGACTGACCATTTATACATATGAGCTCACCCTGAAAATTTTCCAGACTTTGTACACTTTCTGTAAGTATACAATTTCAGTTTCATTATTGGAAATCCTAATCTCAGTCATTTCTGTGTTAGAGAAAACATGTATCCCCTACTTGTTAATTGGAATTGATTTGGCAGAGTTTTTCCTGTGAAAAACAGCACTGTGTCTGCTAACTGTCAATAACCCGGTGTCTTCTAGCTATTCCCACTTTTTAAAAATCCCCATTCCACCTATTCCCACTTGCAAATAACAATAGATGTTTTTATTAGATAATTGGTTTTTATAGTAATTAGACTAATTACATCCCATCTTAGATTTACCTGTATTTTACCAGTATTTTGTACATTTTAAGACAGAAAATAAATATATTTATCAAGAAAATATTTAAAATATACTTAAATTCACTGAAATATATACTTTAATTTTTGAATGTGTAAAATTATTATGAAAAATATTTTTTTTATTTGAAAAAGTCTTATTTTTCATTGAAATAGAAGTAAAAAGTCAGATTTTTAAAAAATATATATATTTTTTATTTTTATTTGAAAAAGTCTAATTTTTCATTGAAATAGTAGTAAAAAGCCAGATTTTATAATTCAAGATAGCAAATTTACCTGTCCTCTATTCCCAGTGGTTTAATAATTACTGTTTTCACAGTAATGACATGTTTATTCAGCTAATTATTTGTTTACACAAAAATTCCACCTACTCCCACGTGAAATTTCACCTTTTTCTACCTGATTTTCAAAAAGTGGGAATAGCTTGCATAAACCAATAACCCTTTGAGAGAAAAAAAGAGGTCATCTTTATTTCTGTCAGTTATTGCTGTAAAATCATTCACCTTTGACAAGTTCGATTTAAGCCCAATGAAGATTGCTGACACACTAAACTAGTTTTAAGAATTTATGACTTAAATTGTTTCTACATACCCTCTGTTGTTAATTTTGTAAGAACGAAGATCAGGTAATTGTTGAAATCTGGATATTTATTCAATTCTTCCAATTTCTGACATCAAAGTTAAAGGAAATCCAAATATACATTTTTGACAAGTTTTTTCAATGAAAGTCATATATGTACAGCTTAATTCAACTATATTTACAAAGTTGACATTTATAATATATAACACTCAGTGCACATTATTTACAAAGAAATATATTTGGGGGTTTAAAAACTGCATAATCACTCAAGTGAACAACACGTGCCCATTGGAGGACACCTCTTAAATTAGTTAACTTCAAATAAATGGATTCCTGAAATAAATCATAACTTATGAAAAGGATACTTGTTGAACATTTCGTTGGGTCGCAGTGTCTGGTGACTGAGATTCCTTTAGTAATTGCAGAATTTGGCGGAGACCATTTTCCTCCGGCTGCCACGCCATCTTGATTTGACCCATTCAAAGAGAAAGGTTAGACTAATGACAGGGAAAGTACCCAGAGTTTCAATCATGCACCCGAATTGGTCTATAGGAGGCAATTGTAGGTTAAGTGCTCCTTGATTAAATATCAACGGTAACAAAATTGCAATGAAATTTCATTGATTTTTTATCATTTCAAAAATACATGTAATTTTCATTGTGTAATGAATTTAGGGTTTACTAATAGCCGTAATATATCATGTAGCATATATTTTCATGAGATATTATAAATATCGCCAAAAATATAATTGAGAAACGCACTAGGATTTAATTTTGCAAAAATAAATAATGGTTAAATTTATTGTGAATATATAACTGAAGGTTGTTAAAGTTTTCGGCAATTTCCGAGAGTCTCCGAAGTAGACCGGAAATTACCGACTCTATGATGCTATTTGTCAACACACAGCCAAAATGGAGGCGAAAGTTTGCCTAGTGAATAACGTGTTATAATCGGTAAATCAAAGGTATGGTATGAACATGAATCCTGTTTTTACTTGTCTGTAATCCATATAAACGAATAACATAATGAAAATGCTTTTACTTTACTTATATGGACAAAACTGGATTGACACTCTCCACAAATTTTGTGACAAAATCTCAGAGGGAGCCAGTCAAAGCGCCCCCTAATAAAAACGTCCCGGTTAAAGCGTCCCCTAATTTTAGTCAAAGTGTCCCCTGATTTATTCATTTTTCAAAGCGCCCCTAACATATTTTTATAGAAAAACGATCGGCCCCAAATAGGGTCAAAGCACCTATATAGCGCCCCATGATTTTAGTCAAAGCATCCCCTAACATATTTTTATAGAAAAAAATACCGTCCCCAAATTTTTGGTCCCCTGATTAGGATCAAGTCAAAGCGATGATTTTGTGTGTAACATATTTTCATAGAAAAAAATACCGCCCCCAAATTTTGGTCAAAGCATCCCCTGATTTGAGTCAAAGCGCCCCCTGATTTTGGTCAAAGCGCCCCCTAATATAATTTTACAGGGAAAAAAAAACTTGATTTTTAAGTTTTTCAAAGCGCCCCCTTATAAAATTTTTCAGATAACTGCCAAACAATGATAATATTATAAATACAAAACAGTTTTATTCCATAACATGTTTGTAAAAATATATTAGTGCCTTAACCATGTTCGGGGACGTTTTGACCATTAGACAGTTCCAAGACGTTATTTTCTAAGTAAAAAATTTGACCAAAAAGATGACCAATATTTGGGGGCGGTTTTGTAACATCATTTTACTGTAAAATTCTATAAGGGGCGCTTTGACCTGACCAAAATCAGGGGACGCTTTGACCAAAATCAAGGGACGCTTTGACCGGGACGGTTTTATTAGGGGGCGCTTTGACTGGATTTCATCTCAGATTACTTACTTGACACAATGCTTTGGGTTTTGTTACCTTTTTTCATCTTTCAAGTATGTTTAACAACCAGGGACCTATATACTAAGTTAGTTTAATTTCTGTGACAACACAGAACTTGTTGTCGGTATGGATTGTAAACCCAATCATATGGTAGGATCAAAAGAATGTGTATTATTGAAAAAAAAAATATAATTTTTAATGTGATAGATTTTAGATTTGGTCCTGTCTTTCTGCTTGATTTTTAAGTTTTTAAAGTTAATTTTTTCTTCTTATTTTCAGTTTTTGATAGTAATATTTCATTTAGCATGTTTAGGATCAACATTTAAAGATGATTTGTTTGATGTACCCCTGACCGATCCATCAAAACCGCCTCTACCCTTCTATTTCATTTTCATCTTTTCTTTATGAATAATACAGTACGTGACTGCCCATTTTTATGCTTTAAAAATATTTTCTGTGTTTTTAATATTTGTAACTATACCAGTATATTTTACTGTAATAGTCAGTTAAAAAGCATTATAGCGCATGAGCTAATGATATTCATTAATTTTCTACATAATGGTGACCATCAATCAAAATTCATTTCAGATCCAGTGATAGCAGTATGTAGGAAGGAACGGCAATATTATTCAAAACAGAGGTTCCTACAAACGAAATCACAAGAATGAAAAAGAAGGAGATTCGACCATTGTTAGAGGGAAATGAGCTGTACCCTAAGGGGATGGCAGTCATTCAAGGGAGAGTGAAGATGTACGTCCCAGAGGACAAAGTGGAAATTGATGACGATTTCGAAGATGAGATTCTGATGACTGAGCGCCGTCGTAAAAGAAGAGTGTCGTTGCTATGGCAAGACTGCTTTCTTCTGATTCTGGACTTCCTTCAGTTTTTTGCGATCTACCAGTCCATGTCTCTGAGGTGGACGTGGCCCCATGCCTGGCTGTCTAACACGTACTTTGTCTTTATTTTTAACCTGGACATTTTTGAGTTTATGAAGCTGCACACAGCTGGAGTTTATAACAGTGTCCAGAACTTCAACACACCTAGCTCCACTGTCCCAGTCCAGTTCTCCTATATTTCCATTGGCTGGCTGATGGTCATTCTGATACTGGCAGCTGTGTATCCCATCACCTATGCAATCCTATGGTACAAAAAAAGCCCCGCCATGATGACCAAAATGTCATACATGCGGCGGGTGTATTACTTTATCATACAGGCTCTGACGCTTCCACTGGCTACCTATGTAGGTCACATCTTTCAGTGTACAAACACGGACACTGTGGACGTGATGAATGACCTGAAGTGTTTCTCCGGCCTCCACTGGTTGTATGTTACGTTTGGTCTGGTCATTATGTTGTTTCTGTTTGTGGTATTTCCTATTCACTTGGTATACATCACCAGAACAGAGTCTGTTGGGTCCTGTTCAAAGCACCATGAATCTTTCCTGCTTCTAAAGGAAACTGAATACAAAGTTGGATTGAATAAATCTTGGCTGCATGCTGACATGTTTGTTTTCTCTTCATTTCGGTTCTGGGGGTTGTATCACAGAGCTGTCATGCAGTGGCTCAAGTTGCCTATTATCATTGCTCTGTGTGCAGGTTTTAACAACATTGCAGCTCAATCCTTGTCTGTGACCCTGTTGTTTTGGGGATATTTCGTTTTGTTTATCTTTGTCCGTCCGTACAGAATCTTGATCTACAATCTGATGATGCTGCTTTCGTTTCTGAGCCTTGGTTGCCTCGGTATAATCGGGTCGATGGTGACGCGGTACAATGTCTACACCCTCTCCTCCCCCTGGCTCCTCCCTCAGTACTCTAAGTGGGTCCTGACCACCATCGTAGTCAGCTGGGCTGTATTCTGGTTCCTCTTTATGGTGTATCTGGTGATTCGTAGCATCCTGTATCAGAAGAAAGTAATAAATACTCCCCTGTGGCCTACTTTTTCCACTTCTGACAATGACCACCTGAGTTTACAGACAAAGAAATTCCTCAAAACATTCCTCCACGCCAGATTTGTGTTAGGTAAGTTATTCTACGTAAATACTAAGTATATGCCTGTTATTTTTCATTCAATCATTTAATTTTTTTTTCATTAATTATTTGTTATCTGTTGTATACACTTTCAGGATAAAGGATCGACTTCACAAGTTGTGTAAAATGTGTTTCATGTTACATTCACTTTTCTATTGCATAGAGAGGACCCAGCGTAGTCCCGCTCTGTTTGCCCCGGTCCACGACCTGTCCAGACAGATACAGATCCTGAATGCGTACTGTCGCGAGGCTGAGTTTCTGGGAGACGCTCTCCACGGGACAATGTGGGATCTCCTGGATGAGATGATCGAAATTCACTCCAAGCTGGCTCAGAAATCACTTTTCGCAGGTAATAAAACTCTCTAAAATGAAATACTGTGAAAAAGTTGCCCAAATTACTAAAAATTATTAAAATAATGTCTTTCAAATTTAGAAAAGACAGAATTATTGTATAATAAATTTTAGTTCTGGGAAGTTGTGTAAGAAATATTTCTGACAGATGCTTTTGAAATTTTATAAACTATTTCTGAGATCTATTATTTGACATTCAGTAAATATTTTTAATGTTTATAACAGAGACTGTAAAGGAATCGATCAGGAAGACAGCCAAGGAGTTTCTGTCAGTGATGCCGCTGTTCAGCCAGCGTCTCGCTCAACGCGACTACGACCTCATTCTGGTGTCACCAATGAAGCGCCGCATGCTCCTTAAGATGTACTGCATGGGTAATGAAACTTGTATTAATATTATGTTACAAATGAAACATCAGAAAAATTATGTTATATATTATATTATAGAATTATTGTTTCTATACTCTTTCATTTGTACAGATATGCATCTTAAGTTTGGTAATTTGAAAGAGTTTTAAAAGGAATAGAACGATTTTTCTGCTTTTACTATAAGTTTCAGCATCAAGTTACCCTTTATTTTTTCCTTTCATTTTGTCCTATATAAGTGATTAGATGTTCAAATGTTCATGTTGACAGGTGTTTTCCTGAACGGCAGAGCGGAGAAAGTAAGAAAGAAGTCCATGTTTACACAGCCAGCTTTAGAGAGAATCTGGCACGAGGAACCTTACAGCCTGAACCTGGAAGGTATGTCATATAAAATGTGGAAGAAATATTGATGTTGCTAATATTTTAATGCAGTGGATTTTTATATAAGTTATACTTGTAATACTGCCCGTAGTAATTTTTTAGTTTATTTCACTATCAATAAGAGGTTGACTGATGAACACGTACACTATTTTGTATTTATACAAAATAAGAATATAACTCCTATGTCAGCTGTAATTGACACTGTTCCCTCCTCTTGTTATTTCAGAGGAGGATGGTTACTATGAGGACCTGTACCCTGACCCCCTGGAGCTCAAAAGTGACAACTCCTCCGTTGACCTGTCCATGGCCAGCTCTGAGTCAGAGGTAACAACATCTTATCTTGTCTTTGTTTGTTCATCATATGTCTAGTTATATGTACACATCTCTAAGTATTGTAAAGCACCTGTATTTATACATAAGTTATAGAAAATCACAGAAAAAAATCCAGCTTTTATTGTGACATTAAACTTCTATAAAATTACCTGATAGTAGGAAAATGTTGATATCTGGATTGTTTAAAATGTAGATGTGATGAATACCTTACATTAAATGTGGTTTATACACATGTAGTTTTATGAGAACCTTATGTTGTGTAGGAGGAAGAGGAGAACTTGGCTGGTATCATGAGTCAACTTCAGGAGGAGGAAGAAATGGAGTTTGACTTACTCAGGTTAATACTATAGTAGAATTTAATACATGTATACATACACAAATTATGATGTTTGAAAGTTTTATCGAAAAAGCATGTTTGAATGAATATGGAAAAATCAAACCATAATTTTTTGTGGGACAGGTCCCAGTCTTTACCAGAGAATCCTGTGTCAGGTGACCACTCCTCCACTGCTAGTGGAAGCCGCCCCGGGACCGCCTTACAGAGCACCACTCATCGACCACAGAGTGGCACCACCAGACGGGAGGGTGGTTCTGATGACCCCCAACCCTCCTCAAGCTCATCCCGTCCAGAATCCAGACCATCATCTGGGTCAAGGCCACATTCAGCTATTTTGGGACCAGGTCTGAGACAAACTTCTGGGTCATCACCCAGGGGATCTAGACCTTCCTCTGGGACATCCACTCATAGCAAGCATTCCACACACAGCAAACATTCTGTCCATAGCAAGCAGTCGTCCCACAGCAAACAATCAGCCCATAGCAAGCTGTCAACATCTGAGCCAAACAAAGAGGGAGGGGGTTATATTAACTCAGGATTTGAGGAGGAAAAACCATCAATACATGGTAGTTTTTTTTTAAGTTATCCTTCTTGACAGTTGATTATTCTGTATTCAATGTCATAACATAGTCATTTTATTTTAACCCTGATTCATTGACAGAGAAACCTAGAAAAGGAGAAGTTCCATCCATGAAGAAGTTTGGGGATGCTAAAGTTGTGGCAGGAAGACTGAAGAAAAAGAGAAACCGAAAAAGAGATTCCGAAGCTTAAAGTGTAGCTGACAAAATAGAAACGGCAACTAGACAGTGAATTGTGGCTGGTCCACATAATATTATACTGTAGAAAATTATCCCTTTTTTCTGATGATTGTATTTATTATATTTTAATTTTTAATATTTTATTTGAATTCCGTCCATTTTCTAGTTTTTCCTGTTTTGCATTACTTTATAGATTTTTCAAGAAAATTTTTATATGATATAGATTTAACCATCTTTATTGTTTTTTCATATGTTTGTTAACATTTTATTCATTTTTAACCAGCAGATCTGTGATAACTTAATATTTTTTCAGTAGGTAGGAAAAACAAGTAACTATAATACATGTACAAGCAATTTATATCTTTTCAAATATGCATCAACCTACAATCAAAGCATACCAACAATAATAATAATCATTTGGTATATATTTAATGTACTCTATTATATTTATTGATAAATTTATATCGGTCTTGTATTACTATTTTTTTTTTTTACCCTTTCCAATGTTTAAAACTATGGCTATGCCTAGATATATATAATTCTTGTTGGTTTGACTAAGTATCAGTTCTGTTTACTTGACAATTATGCAAATATAATCTGAAATATATTTGTAAGTAAAAAGATTTGACTCATGAAAGTGTTTTTAAATGAAATTATAATGCAAGCTAATTGCTTGATCTGACATCTTCATAAAATCAATATTCCTTATAATGACATGCACATGTGTCTGTAATTTCCCCACCCAGCCACCCGTCTCTTTCCTCCTCCCAGTGTTCAATAGGCCATATTAATCCAATAATACCTGTCCAAGAAAACCCCCCCCCCAGATATGATAGCTACCTAAACATGTTAGATGTATGTACATTTAATCTGACAAACCTTTGATATCTGGACAACTTTTTGGTCAGACAGCCATTAGAAACTTTCAGGAGTAAGCTGAAGAATGAATTTCTTCCCTCTATATAGCTAGAATATTTAATATTCTATATATAATATGGTAAAATGAGAGAAATCAAAAACCAAAGAAGAAAAATATGAACATAACTCACAAGCGCTGCTTGCAAAGTAACACTTTGCCATGGGAAAACATTTATAAATAAGGTGTAGTGTGAAGAAAAAATGTATATTCCCGCAAAATTTATCTTGCTTATTTGGAACCTACTAAGAGTATGGTGCCAAAGCATGCTGTCTAAGTATCAAGCTAGAAGTACTGTGAACACTGAGCTCACTAAATGATACCCCAGTCTCCCTTACAATTAGAAGGTGCGATCCATGATTTGCTGTGAGTGACCTGAAATACGAGGGCTATTCAATAAATAATATCCTCGGTGCTCAGAAAGAATCAGACGACACTTTTCAATGATTTAGTCTTCATGAATTAATCTCTTTTAAGCAAAATACATCTCCGTAACATTTTTGATCCAATTTCTGATTGTTTTTAGAACTCATTTTTGGGTATGGCCCTTAGTATACTGGAAAATGGTAGATCCAATGATTTCCCGGACTTGTTTCTTCCTTCTGAAAGGTGTTTTTTTTTCAAGTTTGGAAATAGAAACATTAGTCAAAAGGTCAAAGATTTGACGAATATTGTTAATGTGAAAAAACAATAACTTTCTGTTTATCCCGAAAACCCCTTTACTCTTCAGGGCATGCGGGTTTGGACGCTGTCATGAAGAAATTCAATGTAGCGAATTCCTGATTCTGGGTCCTTCCTTTAATAAACCTTTTGATTTTTTTGCAAAAAAAATAGCTTTCTAGACTCCTCCAGAAATTAAACTGTCTCTCCGAATATGAATTTGAACAACAATACCACTAATTTTTAAGAAAATTACATATAAATCTGTCTTTGTGCTCTTGCATACCTGTGCTCTCGTCAGACATTCGCTGTTTTTATCAAGTACATCTTATGGTAAATTTTGTTTTTAGGGTTTTAAGCAATAGATTCATGTTCCAATATCTGTTTGAAAATAAGACCTGGATAAAAATGGATAACTACAATTACTGATATTTTAAAATAATTATTAAGAATTTCGTATACGCTGTCATTTTCACTCATTTTTCAAAATATAGGGTGACCTTTGAGTACCAAGCTTTTTTTACCGTCAAACGTTTTTTTAAAACTGTTGTAAACTATTCCGATATGATGTCTATCAAATTTGCTATGTGTCTTAAAGTCAATCATACATCATCAAATATTATTTGTTGAAATTTAGCGAACAGTACATAAGTTGTTATGATTTTTGTCGGCAAGGACGGTACCATTTTTGATGCCCATTATATAATTTTTTATCATTGAAATCCCAGGCACCTGAATTTTTATCAATAAGTCGCTAATTAAGCCAAATATCGAAAAATTCTACCCCCTCTATATATATAAATATATAGAGGGGGTAGAACTTAATATATAGAGGGGGTAGAATTTTTCGATATTTGGCTTAATTAGCGACTTACCTGAATTTTTATCAATAAGTCGCTAATTAAGCCAAATATCGAAAAATTCTACCCCCTCTATATATTTATTTTTATCAATAAGTCGTTAATTAAGCCAAATATCGAAAAATTAGAATTTTTCGATATTTGGCTTAATTAGCGACTTATTGATAAAAATTCAGGTGCCTGTGTTGAAATCCTCCTGCTCTTTTGTCTATAAAACAGGCATTGGTTGCTGTAAATGTCACATATCTTTGGGATTTTTAACAAGTTTTACGGCAGCTTTAATGAAGCATTTATTTTCACTCTAGTTTACTGATTCTTTACCATTCATTTATAATGCAGTGTCTCGAAAAGCCCTTGTTTCCCAGCTTCTCACGATGAAACTATGTGATGAAAAGTGGTCACATAAACTGTTATAAATTCATGAAAGATTCATCAATGAGAGAAAGTCAAGTTTAATGTCATATGATATCTGTAATGTATGTCATATAGTTCAGGACATTATTTATTGAACAGCCCTCGTAAGTGTCGGATCAAAAAGTAAAACGGCATTATGAAGTAAAGAATCTGTGAATGAATATCATTAAATTTTCTTCAGCGCGGAATAGGAGTTGCGAATAAGAGATGGGTACCCTTCAATATTATAGAAAAATGGTCGTGTCAGTGTTTTGCTCTGTGAAACCCGAAATATGTTTCAGATCAAAAAGTAAAATAGGAGGTGCATAATGACACCATGTAAAGAAGAATATGTAAAAAGTCTAATTAAATTTCATTCAGTGGTGCATAAGAAATGTTGCAGATAAGATATGGGTGCAGCAAAACGAAACGGACGGACGTACAGACAGACAGATGGACATCCCGGTCACTATATACCCTCCCACCTTTCAAGCAGGGGGTATAATAAGTTGATTGGGAGATGTAAACAGCATTTGCAGATGATAATGTAACATTGCAACAGGAATAAAGAAAATTGACGATAGAAAAGTTTAAATCATCTAATTTGGATGTAAGTTGGCCAATATATCATCTATAGTCAGTAAAACAACCAAATAGGATGCAGATGTGACAGACTACCGGTATTTAATGTTATTAATTCAAGTTGACATATAAATGAAAGTAATTACAGTATTGTTAATGGATGATACATCGTCGATATATTCAAAATGTTGAGTTGAAGACCACGACACGCAAATTTTTATTCTTCTCATGTAGAATTTTTTCATTAAATTCTGCTTAGTCAATTAACAAGTCAGCTAATAAAGAAGCATAATAAGCATCATTTAGAATTCAAACAGTTAGGTGGAATTTAGGCCTATCAGGGTCACAAAAGTTTATCCAAATCACAACAGTTTGTTTGGAAGACCTCTCTTGTCCCAGGACCATGAAACAGACTTAGACTTAAGTCAAAATTTTAATCGTCTGTAAAATGTTTATTATTTATTGAAGAATCTCTAATTTTGCTGAAAACAACATTTTTCTAAAGCAATATTAAAAAATATCTTAATTTTTGTCTACTTGACTTAACCAAAATTCTAATACAACATGAATATTTTGACTTAAGCTTAAGATGTTTCATGATCCTGCAAATGTTGTCAATGAGGAACTCCAGCATCTTTTTATATCAACTTTAGAGTATTTGTGTGTACAATTAGATGAATTTTTAATAAAATAAATTTAAATTGTTAATGACCAATCACAAGATGGGAAAAATTCCGACTTATATATCTTTATTGAAGAAGCAGTTGTCTTTGATATCAGAAAGCTTAGTTTTTGATTAATCATGAGAATTTTTAAAATAAAGTGTAGAGTGTAAATCGTACTTTAATTGTTACTAATTTTTGAAAAAAAATTGGCGATTTTGAAGAACAAGGTACGGTAAGGACAAAATTAACGTTCTTAATTAAGGATCCAAATCTGATATTCACCACTCCTGCTGGACACGTTATCACAGTGACGTATATAGTCACTTATTTTAAAAGGTCATAAATATAGGGAATCCCGATCCTTCAACTGGAGTCGGAATTTCATAAATATTATGGATTCTCTTGAAGATTACGCCAGACAATGGGCCAGATATGAAAAAGAAGAAGTTGACACTTTCAGAATGAATTAAATGTATCAGGTCCATGTTAAAATCACGTATTAAAAGATTGAGGGGCAATACGAAACCCTCTATCCTTCTGTATTAAAAATCCAAAAGTGAAAAAAGAATTAGATAGTTTACATAATTACGTACTGCAAAAACTTCAAGAGTACTGTGCAACAGTATATTCAGGAAATGATGTAAAATCAGATGTCGATACTCAAAAAATCCGAAGAACTCTTGGACAATTTGAAATGACAAGACTTTATCAAAATCAACAGCTTAAAAACTTACGACTTTTCAACTTTATACACAATCATTCCCCACGATAAATAAAGTCCAGGCTTTTTGAGATCATTGACAGCTGCTTTTTCAATAAAAATGGAACTCGTAAATTTACTTACCTGGTCACTGGTCATTTGCAAAACTTATTTTGTTAAAACACATTCTGATTGCACACACGTACTCTGAAGTTGACATCAAAAAGATGCTTGAGTTTCCGTTTGACAATATGTATGTGGTTTTTGGAGACCAGGTATTCCAACAATCTATTGGAATTCCCATGGGTACCAATTTGCGCAATTAAGAACAACAAAGCACCTGGAAATGACCAACTGCTAAGCAGAGCTATTCAAAGCAGATCCAAACCTTGCAGCAGACATTTTACACTCATTATTCACCAAGATCTGGAATAATAATACAATACCAACGACATGGTCCAAAGGAAGTATCATTAAATAAGAAAGGAGATCTTACTAACTGCAATAGCTGGAGGGGCATCACATTACTATCAATACCTAGTAAGATTTTCAGCAGAATAATTATTGACAGGATTAAAACTGCAATAGATGCCAAACTAAGACAAGAACAAGCAGGTTTTAGAAAAGGGAAAAGTTGTTGCGACCAGGTGTTTACCCTGCGAAATATCATAGAGCAATGTACAGAGTGGCAAAGGCAGCTTATAATAAACTTTATAGATTTCGAAAAATCCTTTGACAGTATCCACAGGGAAAGTCTATGGAAGATCTTAAGACATTATGGAATACCATCAAAGATAGTGTTGTGAGATGTGTATTGTTTCATTATGTATATAATTAGTAACATTAAGTTTCTTGAACATTCCAGAGTGGTCAACATGTTCGGTCATTTGATCTAGAACATTCTTAAATTTTGTGTATGTCCAGATTGTTCCAGTAATATCATGTTTTAATAATTTCTAGAATATTCTAGATTTATGATACTATATAAATACCCTGTCAATTCGATGCATATACAATACTTTGTCGTATAAGCACTATTGAGATATAAATGGGATATATTTTCACTGGGACATTGTGTGCAGCAACGGACACTCTGATGTATGTATTTTTAGATTCTTGCTAAGTTTGTACTTTATGTTTGATATATTTATTATATATTACTGTAAATAAATTATTGTTAAGTTTAAATTGTGTTATTGATCTTTGCTGGCATTTCGGGTAATTCTGACCCATAACAATAGTAGAACTGATAAAAGCTTTTTACGTGGAGTTTAATTGTTCTATAGGCAGCTCATCAGATGCATGCTTCATAGTAAAATCTGGCGTGAGGCAGGGATGTGTGATGTCAGCTCTCCTCTTTATACTAGCAATTGACTGGGTAATGAAATCAACCCCAAATGGAAATAACACAGGTATAAGATGGACACTCTTTACCAATCTTGAAGACCTAGATTACGCAGATGACTTGGCCCTCCTATCACATCTGGAAAAGCATATGCAAAGTAAAACATCAAAATTACAGAGAAATGCAGAAAAATTGGACTAAAAATCAATACCAGGAAAACTGAAGTTATGTCATTAAATACCAAACAACCAGCAAGAATACATGTTGATGGAAACAACCTGAGCAACACAACAACATTTACCTATCTTGGCAGCATAGTAACATCAGATGGAGGTGCGGACAAAGATATAAAGGCCAGACTAAGTAAAGTCAGAGGTGCCTTCATTAGCCTCAAGAACATCTGGAAAACAAATGACATAAGTAGAAGAATAAAAATAAGAATATATAACAGTTGCGTACTATCTGTCCTACTCTATGGGTCAGAATGCTGGAGAATGACAGAAGGAGACATATGCAAACTCTCTAGATTCCACACTGGATGCCTCAGAAAGATCATGAGGATTTTCTGGCCAAATAAAATTACAAATGTGGAACTACATGAGAAGGCCAACACAGACGACATGCGAACCTTGTTGACTAAACGGAGATGGCGATGGATAGGGTATGTGTTAAGAAAACCAGCCAACAACATCATCAAAGTAGCTCTTAGATGGACACCAGAAGGGAAGAGGAAACCTGGTCGCCCAAAGACCACCTGGCGAAGGACGGTTGAAAAAGAAATGAGGGACCACAAGCTAACGTGGGGAGAGCTGGAAAGAAACGCTAAAGATAGAGAGAGGTAGAGAAATCTAGTCCTTGCCCTATGTGCCCACGGGCATAACAAGGACTAGGTAGGTAGGTACCAATTTGCGCTCCAATATTAGCAGACCTATTTTTTGTATTCATATGAAGCAGAATTTGTGTAAAATCTTATGCATGAAAGAAGGATATGGAGACAACGAACAGTATTCAACATTAAAATCCATAAAACAATACAAGCTATATGATAAATTTGATGACTTTACTTTTTACTTTGCTGATCATTGATTCGATACGCAAGAGCATGCTCTACGTATGATAAGGATATGGAGATAACGAACAGTATTCAATCTCAAAGTCCATTAAACAATACAAAATAGGAACAGAGCAAACACGGACCTCCGAAACATCAGAGGTATGATCAGATGCCATGGAGGAGTGAGCATCCCCTGCCGACCGGTCTCACCCGCCGTGTGCTCCTTGTCATGATCAGGAAATAACGGAAAAAATTCGTCGTCAATTCAGTGTATAAATAATGGACTAACAATTGGTATGAAAAACGTCAGTCAGTATTTGACTCAATGATAAATTGTATTTGCCGACAATGTCATTGTATCGACCATAGAACTTACCAAAGGATGACTTTAAACGAGACTGCTGATATTCTTGTTTCGTCAACTTGCTTGTCAATAATTTACCTCGTTTTAGAAATTGTTCATACGTAGAGCATGCTCTTGCGTATCGAATCAACTGAGATATATATACTTCGTATGCAGGTGATGAAGGTATATTGCTGCATAAGTAAGGGAAGTTGACTATAGAAAAGTCTAAGTCATCACGTTTATCGTATAGCTTGGTTGTTAGATTACCATTAGTGTCCTTTCAAGTAAAATATCCAAGTATGAAACAGAAGTGTCGGACTCCGTGGTATCTTTTATCTCAAGCTCACCAGGATATATCGACGTATGAGCAGTTTCTTAAACGAGGTAAATTGTTGACAAGCAAGTTGATGAAACAAGAATATCAGCAGTCTAGTTTAAAGTCATCATTTCACATGTTCTATGGTCGATACAATGACCTTCTCAGCAAATACAATTTATCATTGAGTCAAATGTTAATATCCAAGTATGAAACAGAAGTGTCGGACTCCGTGGTATCTTTTTCTCAAGCTCACCAGGATATATCGACGTATGAGCAGTTTCTTAAACGAGGTAAATTGTTGACAAGCAAGTTGATGAAACAAGAATATCAGCAGTCTAGTTTAAAGTCATCATTTCGCATGTTCTATGGTCGATACAATGACCTTCTCAGCAAATACAATTTATCATTGAGTCAAATGTTGACTGACGTTTTTCATATTTATTGTTGGTACATTATTTATACCTGAATTGACAACGGATTTTTCTGTTGTTTCTCGATCATGACAAGAAGCACACGGCGGGTGTGACCGATCACTGATGTTTTGAAGGTCCGTGTTTGCTCTGCTCCTATTTTGTATTGTTTAATGGCCTTTGATATTGAATTTGAATACTGTTCGTTATCTCCATATTTTCTAGAATATGCTTCAGAACAGTACGTCTGAAGTTTCTATCCCTTGAGAGCAGTTAATATTTTTTGTAAGGAGTAAGGTTACTTAAGTTAGGAACTTAGTAGCGTATTTGCTTGGTCTTGCATTTTATCTCTCTTAAGGAATCCAGTATAGAGGATAGGGGTAGATAGAAGTCACTTTGGTTGACGGGATTGTTAAAAGGTTTAAATGTTGAAATGTGATTTTGAAGAACTTCATCTTTACAAAGTGAAATGTTAGCATAAGTTGGATAAGGAATAGAATTAAAGCCAAATTCTAATAGAAAAACGTTGTGATGCTGAGTCTGGCAAACAAAGACAATATTGTACATACTGTGTATAAGTTTCTCGAATTCTTTGACCACCTCCGTTTAAGTAAAAACGGAAGGATAGATGATTCGTATATTGCCATCCAGTTTTCTTATAAGATTCTTTAACATATTTCTAAAACCTTTAATGCACAAAGTGTTTAGATCTTCCTTTTTCATATTTAGCAGATCGCCTGAATATATTTTGACAGAATTCATAATATAAGGAAGATTCGAAAGATTGGAACGCCCTGTATTTAGTTCAATTTTAAGAAGATGTAAGAAATATACATTTTAGGTCAAGTAAGTTTTTTGACAAAGGAAAAAATTCTTCAAAACTATTTATCAGTTTGAAATATTTTTAATATTTCCAACAATCAAAATGAATTTGAATTACCATACGTAAACTGGATTACAAAACTTCATAAAAAACTTTAAAAACAAACATACTGGGTCCCAGGAAATTTTCTACCACGCCTCTTTCTTTACTCCTCACTAAAACATTAACAGTGGTGAAGGAGAAGCTTCAGGAGAACTGTGCAACAATAATAATATTCGGGAAGTGATGTAAATCAGACGTGGATACTTAAAAAAATCTAAGAAAATTTGAAAGCACAAGATTTTAACAAAATCAACAACATCAATACGTACAGCTTTTCAACACGTTATACATTTAATTCTCACGAAAATTAAAGTCGCGACTAATAGCGCTCTGTTATTAGCAGAACTTTTTTTATTCATATACAGAATATATGCAAAAACTTCTCCATGAAAAGAAAACACTTGGTGTGGCCTTCAAAACAAGATATATCGACGACATATTATCAATTAACAATAACATTACTTTCATTCTTCGTATGTAGACACGATGTATCCCAGTGAGCTTGATATAAAAAATACCAAAGATTTTGACACTTTTGTTTCATATTTAGATATTTTACTAGACAGGGAAAAATATGTGCACAAGTAATTGCTTTCTATTTCATTCTTGATGTTCCCCCCAAAAATCAACAAACTCGACAAATACGTTTTTGTCAAATTTTATTTGCACCAAACACCGCAAAATTATTTTTCACTAGTGTAAAGACTTTCTTTTTATATTCCTGGGCTGCATAGGATGATTCCTAGTTTTCGGAACGGTATGAATAACCCCAAAAACATTTTATTTTTCAAATTATAAAACTTAAGTTTGTGAATATATGACACTGATTCGCATGAAAATTGTTTCTTTTCATTCTATGTCGAGTACTCGAAAACCAACACTTTGCCCGATTCAAATAATCCGACCCAGAGTTTTCCTTGCATGTCTAAACTTAATCCAACTGGAATATCACATTTAATTTGTACTTGAGTTAGCAAATGTCCATCGATATTCAAAATATGAATCTTTCTTGAGCCTGGGTCTGTTAATAAAATGCGATTAATAGAATCTGTTACTATTTTCCTAGGATTAAATCTATCGCTCAATGTTGCACCTTTATACCGAAATCGAACCTTTCCAGTCCATTCCAGTCCTATTAGAACCCTAGCCTGCATATCAGAAACAAGAATGTCTCCATTGTTGTTCTCCTCCACAAACATTCCATATTTCCCTTCACTAAAGATGGAATTCCCGAATTCATCTTTATCTATTATTTGTAAAATTTTCTTTTCTTGCAATTGATACCGCACAACTCTGTGTTGGCTAAAGTCGCTCGGTCGCAAACAAACAAGGATGTCTCCTGATATAGTAGTGCACATTCCTCTCGGTTGCCAGCCATCTGGCACTGTAAACAGAATTCTTGATCTTCCATTTTGGACATGATTTACAGTTCCATTGTTCACATCGCTGTAAAGTAGTTCATTTTTATCCAGTGCTACCATATCGTATGGACAGTCTGAACAAGTACATGTAGTATTTACAGAATTTATTGTAGAGGAGGTGTGCCTATCAAAAAGTCGTATGATTTGGTCCTCACAACTAAGCCAAGCCATACCAGTTCCTGTACATGCCACCCTCCATAGTGGTTTAATATGAGTGTCAAATTTGGCAATTAATTTTGGTTCATTTGATGATGAACTTAATTTCAATTTTGCTGTTTCCTCTGCCAGACTTGATATACTGTTTTGTTTTAGTGTCGCCTTATATTCTCCAAATTCTATGCTGAGGTCTTTTCCATAGAAAGCTTTTGTTTTAAGTGATGGCACTGCAATATCAATTTCTGTTAGAATTGCATTGTATTCCTTCCATTGTGATTTGTATCGCATAACTTCGGATACTTTATTAGAATTTAGGATCTTTCAGTTTTGTTGAACACTTTCATCATAAGTGGGATAGATTTTCGAATGTTACTCTGCTGTGTTTTTGCATCAGTTAGATGATAAGCTTTACTAGATTTGATAAGAGAGATGAGTGTGTTGAAAATGTCGTCAACTTCTTGGTGCCAGAAAGTCCTGTACTTCTCAGATTCTTTTTCAAACTCATAATATTTAATGTTTGCTTGATATATTTTCTTTTCAATGCTTGTCTCTTTTTGCGCAAAGGTTGGAATAAGTACAGTTTCCAATTTATTTGTTTCTTTTTCAATTTTCTTCTTTTTTTCTTCGACAACTTTAGCCATTTCTATAACATTATGACTTCTATGGCGACCAAGGATGCATTTCAAGCAGACTGGGACATCACACTGATTGCAGTAAGCCTCGCATCTCTCATCTTCGTGATGTTCACATTCAGGGAAAACAAGTTTCATTTTTCTCATCTTAAAAGGAACAATGTCATGTGTATTAGACTTTAGACTTTCTACATGTTTATTTATACAGCCCCCACACAAGGTGACCTGGCAACTGTTACAAAATTGCTGGGTAGGATTGTCACAATTAAGGTCACACGTGATCACGTCCTGTGCCCACGAAGTAGAGGTAGCCATTTTTGTTTTCAGATACTTAACTGAAAAGGAATCAAAATTTAATTACACTCCCTTTAATGTGTAAGACTTCAAATTTTAATTAATAAATGTACCCAAAAGGTTCCTAGTTAAAGGAACATTGACATTGGTATGAAGTTCACAATCTACACGCTTTTGGTAGAATTTGATGACTTGCATTTTCAGACAGATATACATGTATTATGGAGACTTTTAAGAAACTACGAACAGTGAGCGTGTTTGATAGTCATTTCTTTTTTTTTTACTTTCGCGAGCAAATATAATATTCAGTGGAAATACTAATGTGCATTTTCTCATCAAGAAGCCCGTCTTGGCCTCACTATGGGCAGCGGAAAAGGGAAAAAATACATGTACCATAATGAGAAAAAAACCCCAATACATGTAATTATATTTCTCATGGCCATAAAAACTTAACAAATATTATTTAATGCATAATCAACTCTTTCGCAAGTTTTCATGGTCTTGGAGGATTATTATGTGTATTGCAAAATTATAGCATTGACAATGGTCACATATCTTGTGCCCTCATAATTTGTGAAACAAAACAAGATCTACAAGCGGCACAGCATTTATCATCACATATAACTTACACTAACTTCTATTATTATCATCCCAAAGATTTTTGAAAATCAACTTTTGTTTTTGTTTTATGCATGGTTGTTATGGTGAATGTTTACTTAGACTTGATATAACCGTCTCTATCGTGCATAGCGCGCTTATCAGATATGTTTCTTAAAATCCAGTATAGAAAGATTGCTACCGATGAATTATAAACGCTCAACTTTTATAAATAAAGTAGTATGTACAACAGCATATTCAAAAAGTTGTGTTAATCATATGTGGATACTTAAAAACTACAAGGACCTATAAGAAAATATTAAATCAATTATTTTTGCTAGAAAAATATTTTTTTAAGTGCAAACAATATATTCAAAAAGTGGTGTGAATCTGATATGGATGCTCAAAAATTCCAAAGAATTTTTGGACAATTTGAAATCAAAAGATTTTACCAAAATCAACAGCTTTAAAACTTACGACTTTTCAACTTTATACACAACCATTCCCCATGATAAATTAAAGTCCAGGCTTTTTGATATCACTGACAGCTATTTTTTCAATAAAAATGGAACTCATAAATTTACTTACCTGGTCATTGGTCATTTCAAAATTATTTTGTTAAAACATATTCTGATTGCACACACAAGTTCTCTGAAGTTTTTATAAAAAAGATGCTTGAGTTTCCGATTGACAATACTTATGTGGTTTTGGAGACCAGGTCGTCCAGCAATCTATTAGAATTCCCATTGGTACCAATTGCGCTCCGCCATTACCAGACCTTTTTGAATTCATATAAAGCAGAATTTGTGCAAAATCTTATGCGTGAGAAGAAGAAACACTTGCTGTGGCCTTCAACTCGACATTTAGATATATCGAAGACGTATTATCAATTAATAATGGAAATTTCCATTCCTATGTCGAAACGATATATCCTGGAGAGCTTGAGATAAAAGATACCACAGAGTCTGACACGCCTGTTTCATATTTGGATATTTTACCTGAAACAGACGTTAATGGTAATCTAAAATGCAAGCTCTTTGATAAACGTGGTGGCTTTAATTTTTTTTATCGTCAACTTCCATTACTTATGCAGCAATATACCTGCATGCGGAGTTTATATATCTCAAATGATACACAGGAGCATGTTCTACTTATGAACGATTTCTAAAACGAGGTAAATTTTTGACAAACATGTTGATGAAAGAGGAATATCAGCAGTCTCGTTTAAAGTCATTATCAAGATACATTAGACATAAGGAATAATATCCAATGAGTGATATCCACAGAATAAAGAGGTAAAAATGCGATAAAAGATGAAGAAACTGAAAAAATGTCTCTGTTGTTTTTTTACTAAAATAAAAATTCTATTTAAGTTTAACTTTGCGTTGTTTGATATGGACGGATGGGGAAAAGTCACTTCCGGTGACTCGGCTGGCGGAGCGACAATGATAGTGTGACGAAAAAGGTCGCGGTGATCCGATTGATACATGTTAAAAAATGGAAGCCATTTTAATCCTGAATTTACTAAAATAAATCAACTTTATTTTACAAATAACAAACTTAACTTTCAAACAAACAAAAAAAAATGATAAGAATTTCTTTATATGTTCTTAGTAGGTTGTCATAGAAACCAAAAGAATTCCCCATTTGTGCTGATAATAAACAATCCTACTTTTTATATCATATTTAAAAAAAAAGAAATTCTAAGGTAAAGAGAGGGAATCTTTGGTACTCCTCTCAAAGAAAATTTTCTGAACTGTTGAACTCTGACAGGTAAAAATCATGATATATTATTATTGATTTCTGTGCATGAGCTCTATGATTTCCTGTATTCTCATCAATGAAGCAGTTTGTATACTGTTATATTTTTCCTGTTTGAGATATTGTTGGTAGAAATACAGAGCAGCTTGATGGTTCCCTGTCACCTGTTGACAGATCCCTAGAATCTGCCAGGATGTCTCTTTTATTTGCCCTAATGTACATCCCCTGATCATGGTGGACCAGGTCCTGTAGTTCTTTAAAAGATGATAGTGCTCTCAGTGAGTCTACATGTCTGTAACACAAGACCTCTAACATGTGTAACAGAACATACAGCAGGGTATCTAATACAGGGGATCCATACTATATCACAGACTGTTGTTCTGGCACCAATTCATTAGTGTAACATATTACATTTTCCAGAACAAAATCCCATGCTACAGCTTGTCTCATCTTTGTAGACCAGGATTGTCCCCCTAAGTACCCCACTGCATTCATAGCTAAATCTGAGACATACATTACATATGGCTCTACTAACTTTATCTTTGTCATTTCTAGAATTGATAGGGCTTCTTTATATCTAAGTGTCTTGTAATTAAACATTGCAATGTATGACATATCAGAAATACACCCAAACTTGGCTGCTAATTTCAGCATATAACTGGATGTTTTATAAGCCAAATACAAGTCCTTGTTTGCAACTGAGCTAGAATTCATTTTGAGTGGTGCAAAAACAGTTACAAAGTCGTATAGAGAAGATTTGTTACAAACAGGACCTTAATTGGAGTTCAACATGTATTTATCTGAATCAACAAATTGTCGGGGATTTTTAAGAACACTTGTAATATTAGACATGATAGATGGACAATGAAGCAGTGATACTAAACCCTTCTCATACAATTTATGAAGCCTAAGAAATAAATTCTTTTGTGCTTCACCATGTATATTACTCAGAAACATGTTGTTTTCTGGAATAAAAAAAAGTTCGGACATACCCCCTCATATGCCCATTTAAGGATTAGCTTAAAACAAACCCAGAAACACTCTAGGAGATTTTGTGTTGTCATTGGTAATATATTTTGTTGAATTGCCCAGAAAACTACTGTCTTCATGTGGTAGGAACACAGTAATTTATCCTCATCGCTGAATTCATTGTTTATGCAATCTTTTAAAAACAGTTTATTCAATCCATAGGTTAAGAATTGCCAATGGTTCATTGAGTAGACAAGTTTTTGTTCTGCCAGTGAGAAGGAAATTCTCCATTCTTTGTCTGCGTGTTTTCCTAGTTTGTGTCCTATTGCTACAAAGTGGCATCCATTTCTGACTATGACATCAACAATGAAAGACGGGGGCCATGTGTGACATCTGTCTATCCACTTGGAGGCTGGAGGAGGCCAAAATTCACAAACAAAACATTGGGCAGTGTCATACTCTACTCCCACTAAAACACCACTACCACAAGGGTCATGTTCCGTAGAATTAGGCATAGCTAGTGAACTTGTGATTTGTCTGTATTTGGAACTGGAAATGTAGAGTCTGTCATTTATTCTCGTACATGTATTCTGTAATCTTTCCCTGTGTGTTGGTGTCAATAGCTCAAGTAAAGCAAATCCCGATGGGCTATCAGAACAATCACAGAGAATCAATGTTTTTCTACTTAAGTCATAATTCTGAGCCTGATCTAAGTCCCATATAACGATGTGGTCATCTGGCTAAAATATACAGTCCATATCTGACCCATGTAGTCTGAATCTTTCTCTGTAACTCCCACTAGTCATATTCCTTTTTTCTTCTCTTGTTTGTATCACTTGTTCTATCATCATTTCCCTGAAGTCCATCATCTCTCTCCTCATGATCACCGTCTCTGAGGACCCCAGTATGTGACTCAGTCTCACAAACACAGACTCCGATATATATTGCATACCCAAGAGCCTGTACGAAATGAATTTATGTGAATTGTGTAAAAATATATTTTTTAAAAAATATTTCATTTTCACTATAAATCCATGTTATATAGATTTGACTTTAAAGATTATAATTAGAAGTGAAACATTTCTGTTGTACTTCCAGTTTCACAGACTATATATAGTCTGTGAAACTGGAAGTACAATAGAAATGGAAATTAGAAATGGAAAATCACTTTTGTAATTTTTAGTTTATAAATAAATGCGACTTTATAAATTCAATAATACATGTATCTTTGTTTGATATTTGTATGAAATATTAGATGTCTTGGCAAGCACTTGTAGGATCTTTGAGCCAACAGTCTCGTCTAACGTCAAGTCTGACGTCAAGTTTTTGAAAATTAAATGTTGATACAATAAAATCGTTCAGCATATACAATCTATAGCGTAATTAAATCAAAGTACTGAGAGTACTGATAGGCGGAAGCATTATTGCAAGTTCTCATGTGCAAAACTTTAATAACACATATTTGAAGTATAATCTGTTTTAAAGGGGGGGGGGTGATAAATATTTTGATGGATTGTAGTATTGAAACCAAGAAACAAGAATAAACAATATGTCTCCCTTTTGAAGCGGAGACATGAGAATAAGTGACGTCAATAGCAATATGAACATTTTAACATTTATTATACCCCCGGCTTGAACAGCGGGAGGGTATACTGTAATCGGTATGTCCGTCCCTCCGTCTGTACGTCTAGCTCTCCGTCTGTTACGTACTCATCTCATATCCACAACTCCTCTTATACCACTGAGTGAAATTTGATGAAACCTCCACAGAATCTTTATTACATATTGCCATTGTGCACCTTCCACTTTACTTTTTGATCCGACACATATGTTGGGTTTCCCGTCCACAGCAAAACATGGACTTTTCCGTTACAATCATATGGGAGGCGGGGGTATCATTTATTCATTTAGTGAGCTCATTGCTCACAGTACCTCTAGTTTTTGTCAAGTATAACAAGTTAAAATCGAAATGCAATTTGCAATACATAAAAATTGTTAGATATTTTGGGGAACAAGAAATGGATAATTATAAAATTTCACACAAAAATGAGTACTAATGAGTAATAGAAAGCAATAAATATCACAACTGCTTTTTGGTTTTTTATGTGTATTAAGTTTTAGTTCCAATGACACAAATTCTTGTTATAAAACAGCTAATTAAATAAGGATGCAACATATATAGAAGACCTTACATAGATTTACAATGTGCTTGTGGTTCTATGAATTGTTTTCATTCAATACACGTATTGCCCAGGTAGAACAAATCACAGGTCTCTAATGCTGATGACAGGTGAACCCTGTGACATGATGTCCACAATAAATGGAATATTTTTTCAGGAGAGCTTCTACCATGGCAAGTCCTTGAACGCCAGACAATTTTATTTTTATTCCTGTGGTAAATTTGTCTTTGATGATTGTAAAATATTGGTACATACATCCCAATATCAGTTGTGATTTCTTTTCTGGAGATTATCTACACCATTTTCCTCCCAACCGTCTCTTCGCAGAATTTTCTACAAAGTTTATAATTGAAAAAAAATTAAGAATACCTCATAATGTTTATTTAACAAATATTATTTTACAATGTATCCGACTTTCAATAAATGACATCAAGGACTTCAAATAACCTTTTATGATATATTTTAATATATTTTCTAGGGAAGCAAACTTTACCGGGTACTCGATCCAATGTCCAAGTACGAATACTATAAATAGGTACTCGGTTACTCGGCTGTATATTATTTCTTATTTCAAGGTACACATTTTTATCAAAAACATCAATTATAACTAAAACATGCAAATGGTAATTAGCATGTCTTCATCTACACCTTGCTGTAAAACATCCGTTATCGCCTTGATCTACATTCATTCATTCATTCATTCAGTGAAATCTAACATGCATAGAAATCAATGCCACTATACCCACTTCAAGAGTGAAGTGGGTATATAGAAATAACGAAAGATTCAAAACCGCTGAAAGTCAACTTGTGTTGTAAGTTAAGGGTATGTATACTGGAAACAACCAACAAATGTTATAATATAAGATTAGCGATCCTGACCAACAACATCCGTCCCCTTTCTTTCACTAGTTATATAATAACCTACATGTTTACACAGCAGTTTGTTACATAGATCCAATTAAAACAACGTTTTGTAATTTTGGGTGTATATTGTGCATTTGTGTTTTATTTGATAACTAATTTTAGTACCAAAGATCATTTCCAATGGAATTGATAATTATTTGTACATGTTTTACATTGATAAACATGATAAAATCAGCTTTGTGGGTTAACAGAGCTTAATTAATTTAACTAGGCACAAGATCAAACTTTTATCTACATTTTATCGTGTAACTGTGTATTCAATTGGGGAAAAGTCAGAGTAAGCGATTATTAAATATTGACCAATTTGACTTCCCTAATATTTTTTTGTATTTTTTTTTCTCTCTCAAAAGCCTAACATTATAAGTAATCATGTATTTCATGTATTCAAAAAAAAATGAAAAGAAAATACGCAAGTCAACAAAAAAAAAATGTCAAAATACACTTTCGAAAATAGTATTTGGTTCATTTTTGCCATCATAACAAGAACATTTGTTATGCTATCAAAAATATGTATCATAACTTATGAAAAATTTTTCTAATAGAAATATATTAAATTGATGTACTCAACTTCAGAGAAGTGTTTCTGGTTGTGCTGAGGTGAGTTTTCTTCTGCCATTTAGAGGTGACACGACCAAATTCACAATGCAATCTTAATTATATCCCACTTTCTGTTAGCTGCCTTCGTAGGGACACATCTATACAGATTAAAATACAATGTAGTTCTTATGCTTGCCTCCAAATTTTACAGTTTTGGCCCATCCTTCAACATACATGTATTTACATTAAATGAGAAAGGATATATAAATGTATACACTAACTCGGCATGATAATTCCTCAAATAATTTCTCCCAGGCATGTAATCATGGTAATTATAGACTATACCAGTTCTTTCCATAAGACCCGACCATAACAGCTATCATATTACGATATCTAAAGCATGCCTGCATAGGGAGGCGACATTTTCAAGTTAAAACAATAAAAGATAAGGGTGAAATAAAAGATACGCTAATCACAAAGCGTGAGTTACCTTGCTTATTTTGAAGAGAAGCCCTGTCACTTCAGTTCAACCATATAATGTAATATATTTCAAAATAGTTGAAAATGCTTGCTCCTACCCGTTACCAGATCCAGCCTCTAATGTTTTTAGAAATCTGTCTTTCATCTACTCCCAATTTGTTTTGTTTCAATTTAGTTTTGAGTGTGATTGCTATCCGTTGTATTCACATATCATGGCGTGTAATGCATACCATTATATAAAAATCTTATTTAATATTGTTTGTGGAACATTTCAAACTAATGATAAATATGTATCTCAGAAATGTGCAACTCCAACAAATGGTCAACTTTAAATTTTATCAGGTCATGTGAGTTTTTTCGGGTGACCTATTGCTTTCTGTTTTTTGTAATTCCTTGAAGATCTTCTTCTTTACTTCTGACGTCTGAGTGAAGAATTCGAATGGGACGTTAAACAATATACGATCATAATCATAATCTCTCCTTCTGGGTATAACACAAACTTACTACAAAGTACATACCCCGGTAGTTAAGATGAGAAAGGGCGCCTTTTCGAAATCCTCTAGATCTGCTGCTGGGTGTTAAGCAGATGAACTACCTATACAGTCAGGATGAGCAAGGGTGCATCTGCCAGAAATTTTATAGTCAAGGTAGTTTGATCCTTGACTCTGTAACCCCTAAATAATTAAGGGTTTTATAACTTAAGGATTAACAACTCCAGTGTAAGCAATTGATCTTCACGTTCCTAGATTAGTTAAACCATTGACCTTTGACTTTACAACCTTAAAATTCAACATGCGTCAACTACATCTTGGAGAATTTAAGTTTACCAAGTTTGATGTCTGTCATGCAAAGGTTTCTCAAGATACTAGTATTTTGGACCACCAATGGACAGGTGCAAACTGATATATACCTATAAAATGCTGAAAAAATTACTTTAAAACTATTTTGAGTTCATTTGTTGATCTTAGGGCCATTTGGAGGGATGTTTTTATTACAATGTAACGACATAAGGAAATTATTCTAGTAAACTATCTCTAAACATTTATGAGTCAGATTTGATTTGTAATGAATGTGTTTCCCATTTTAGTTATTCTTGGAGAGTTACTGAACTGTTATGGATACGGTAAGCAGGTTTTGAATGTTGATTAGTATTATTTAAAGTATGATAAAGAAGATCCGTAGAGTACTTATTAACAATAATGTAGCAGTATATAAAGGTATTTTTTGAAGCGGGAAATTGGATGGGCGAATTAGTAATATTATCAAGCGGGTTTTCAACAACCTAGCTGATACTCTGTCATACAAATGTAATTAAGACTTTATTTAATATTAAGTTTATAACGCATATTGTGTTATATGACAGTAAGAACATCAAGATGTGCTCCTTTTCATGATCGGGAAATAACTGAAAAATCCGTCATCAGCTAAGTGTGAGAAAAAAATGGACCAACAATATGAAAAACGTCAGTTAACATTTGACTCAATGATGAAACATATGGAGATAAATAATAAATTGTATTTACTGACAAGGTCATATTGTCTTGACTATAGAATTTACAAATTGATGACTTTAAACAAGACTGCTGTTTCAGTAACTTATTTGTTAATAACATATCTTGTTCTAAATATTCTTCATACGTAGATGATGAAGGTATATTGCTGTATAAGTAAGGAAGTTGACGATAGAAAAGTTTAACAAAGTCATATAGTTTGTCATAAAGCTTAGTTGTTAGATTACCATTAATGTGTATTTCAAGTGAAATATCTAAATACCAAACAGATGTGTCACACTCTTTATTATCTTTTATGTCAAGCCCTCCGGAATATATCGACTCGATATGAAAATTAAAAAAAATATTTGATTTGCCAATTTCTAGATTTGGTAACCAACAGAGACTAAAGACATAAAGTTGGCGAGGAGTTTGACAGATTAAGTATACTTTGATTAAAAAAAAATAGATGTTTAATTGCAGACAATCTATCACAAAATAAAAAAGCTGCACAGAGTTCAACCTGGCCTTGCGGTAAGTCCTGCTCTCTATATAGAGCGGAGAACGCAGTAGATGATGACATTGGCACTTGTTCTAGGAGTGAAGTCTTTGGTCATAACAGTCCGATTAAATCTGCTTGGTGGTATGTTGACCTCGGTGAGACAGAAAGTATATACAGAATCAACATTCTCTACAGGGACTACACTGGGTATGGTATGTTTCTTTTTTTTAATCTTGCATGCAAAGGGAATATAATACACATCCAACTCTTTTGTGCCCTGTTTCATTTGTTTCATTTATAAATAATCTATGTTCATCATACGTATTTTAAATATTTAATAAGAAAAATTGGAAAGAATAAAAATATAAATACAAGAATGAGAACAAAATATTTATTCTGGAAAATTTTATTTTTGCATTATAGTTCTTACAATAATTCTTACATTATTGATTATATAAAATAAAACAATAAACATATTTCATGAAAAATTTTGATATAATGTATAACTATCTTGCAAATATTATGGTAGGACAAAACACCCGTGGATTCTAATTTTACCCATTTCTTAAAAAGTACTGGAGTAAAAAAGAATAATATTACTATATTGCCAACAATGAATGATCCCTGTAAGAAAAATAATAAGTTATGGCATGTTTGCGTTAAAATTGAATTATACATTTTCACTTAAAAAAACTTGAACTGTTGGATATTTACATGTGAATTTTCAATTCCGAGGCTATGTATGTTCTATTTTTACTTAATATTTTACTCAAATTTTCCAGCATCAATTTGATTTACTGATTTAAAGTAACAAAAAGGTTATCTGTATGAAAAGTATTACACAAATTAGCAATAGATCAATTGATAATTCTAAAATAATCTGAAGTCGAATTTCACAGTTTTCTAACAGGGGCTGATAGGCCATATTTCAGACTATGCGGGCAAAAAATGTGTGGTTGAATTTCTTTCATATCGTATGTAAAGATAGATTTTTATCCTAGAAAAAAATATCAAAGTTTCAGAAAAATTGAATTTGAGAAAAGATTTGGCCTATCTATTGTGTCCTACCTTAAGCGATCTACAGAGCTCTATCAGGTAAAAATATGTCCATTAACCTATTCTTTGATTAGAAAGAAATCTGTCTAAATTTCTTTACAGTACAGAGACAAAGAGGACGAATGGCCGGTTTTTCTTTATTTATCTCAAACAGCACACAGAAACAGGACGGTCATCTCTGCTACAAAGATAAGAATGGGTTGCCTCCCTTGAATTTTAGTATAATTTGCTCCGGACATGGCCGTTATATTATATTTTATAATGAACGATTTGATGGAGTAACATACCCGGAAGGCTACGAGTCTAAAACTCTAATAGAACTATGTGACGTCGTTATTGAAGGTAATGACCTTGTTATTAAATTACAATAAGTATAGTTTTTTCTCTCTGAGGCGTTATCTACGTGCAATATATAATATGTTGGTTTGCAAGAAATAATGAACTGCAAATCATTTTCCACAGCATACACTGTTCCATTCGAAACTTGGACGTAAAATCAAGTACCAAATGTCGTTTTCATTGAACTAATTAATCCCGGGTATAAAACAGTTTCTTATCTTTCATACAGTCGTAGCAATCTTGATGTATGGAATCGAGATTTTGAGTGTTTTTAATCTTTTTGTATTAAGTTCAACAAAAAGATAGGATTTTTGAAAATTTTGAAAAACTTCGAATGTGAAAAAACGGCACACTAAATTTTGTAAAGATGTGCTTGGTTTGAAAGAAAAGCGGCTAATTTTGCTGTGCTGTCTGAACTTGGAAGATAACCGTTGTTTTTCAATAGCATGCTAAACTACTGGCATAAATTGGAAAATATGAAAACTTCAGATAATGAAATTAGTACTAATACATATTTTACATATACGTTTCTACACAATGAAATTACTTCTTCCCGGTTTGGTTGTGTATGTTTTATTATGGATAAAAGTTCCGAAATAAAAAAAAAAAACTATGTTAATTTAATACCCAAACGAAAGATGCATTTTGAAACTAAGGTTTTTTTTCTCACAAGGATGTGAATCAGGAAGGTATGGAGATAACTGTAGGCTAAACTGTCCAATCAAATGCCCGGATCATATGTGTGACATCGAGAGTGGTGATTGTTTGACGTGTCTAGCAGGGTGGCAAGGACCTAAATGCCAGGAAGGTGAGAAAATAAATTTATTTTTACTTTTTAACTAAAAATTTGTTCATGTGTTGTCATCATGTATTACTTTTCTTGATATCTGTAAAACCCTAGCTTTTCACAGAGATTAAATGTTTCGTGTTTAAATCATAGTCATCTAAAATTTTCAAAAATAGAAAATGGGCGGGAATTTATCGCACAGATTGGAGTTCCCAATATTTACTGTTTTTTTCTGTTTAGTTGATTAAGCAATCTAATTTGTGGAGAAAAAATATAGGGAAACTTTTTAATATTTTAAAGCAGATAATATTTGCAAGGGAAATCTTTCTTTTTTATTTTTTTTCTCTCGTTCCCTGCTTTTAATTGGGTCTTGAAAACGAGATCACATTATCAAGTATAGAGGCCATTAAACAATTTGTTTCTATTTCAAGCTTCCAGAGAAGCTTATCGAGTTGATGTTTTTAAAATTATAAACAATATTCTCTGAGAAAAGGTAAAAGCATTTTATTATTATAAGTCAATTGACTGGTTATTTTTTTAAACAGATATTTCAACTCCTATTTGTAATTGTAATGTCATGTCATAATGAGAATGATGTTACAATGTCTGAAATGAGAAGACCTACTTTATAATAAAATATGGCTTTAAAAGACATTTTTCATTGCCTGTTAAAAAATAATGCAACAAATTCATTCAATACAATTCCTATAATATATATATCTATGAGAAGAGGATATCGACCGAACACTATCTCCTCTAAAGTTTATACATTTAGGAATTGACCTCATCAAAAGGCTATATCTGCATAACATTAACATGAATATTTATAATTAATGGCAGGATGCAAAAATAGAACATATGGTCCGAGATGTATGTACAGGTGTGGACACTGTTTTAATGATGCGCCTTGTGACGTAGAGACCGGAAGTTGTGGATCTGAATGTGACCCTGGCTATCGTGGAGACCTTTGCAAACAGGGTATAACATCAACAATTTTCATACTTGTATTCACAATAATTTGATCAAAGGAGAGTAAATATAATTAATTATATTTTTGAGACATTGAAGATTAATAAGATCTACATTTTTTGTCAGCTTGTGAAAATGGGAGTTATGGACCAAGTTGCAATTTCACTTGTGGCCATTGTTTTAATGGAGAACTCTGTGATAAGACTACAGGAGTGTGTAGCACAGGATGTGTCCCTGGGTATTTTGGAGATAGATGTCACAAAGGTTAAAGTTTTTCCTTATTCTTTAAATTGGTAGACATATAATCATGATATATACGTGCTTAGACAGACAAGAATTAAGGATTGTCTGAAATATAAAGTTATAAACTCACTTAGAGTCATAGATCGTAAAGGAATTTTTGAGACAATTTAACCGTCCTGATTTGACTTAAAATATCGAAAGTACCCTTTTTATATATCCGTTATTTCCCGATTATGACAAGGAGCCCATGGCGGATGTGACCGGTCGGCAGAGGATGCTCACTCCTCCATGGTACCTGATGCCACCTCTGATGTTTTGGATGTCCGTGTTTGCTCTGCTCCTATTTAATATTGTTTTATGGACTTATGAGCTAATATACTGTTTGTTATTTCCATATGTTTCTTTAAAGGCAAAATTCAATATTTTTTTTAACGATGACAACATTTGTATTTTGCAATTTTGATAGAATGTTTGCCGGGATTGTTTGGAAAGAATTGCAGTTATCCCTGCAGTGGCCATTGTTCACACAACGAGAGTTGCCATCATGTTGATGGGAGATGTAAAAGAGGGTGCGCTGCCGGATACATAGGAAATAAGTGTAATCTTGGTAAGTATATTTACCATCAATAAAGATTCTTAATTATAATAATCATGTCATAAATGTGATTAAGACATTAGTACACGGCGGGTGTGACCGGTCAGCAGGGAATGCTCACTCCTCCGTAGCACCTGACCCAACCTCTGATGTTTTGGATGTCTGTGTTTGCTCTGCTCCTATTTTTTTTTTATTGTTTTATGGACTTTTGATCTTCAATACTGTTCGTTATCTGCATATGTTTCTTTGCATATAAATCATATGATGTTGCGGATTTGGATGCTACATTTTGTTTCAATGCTTCTTTTTCAGTTTGTGAACCTGGCTTTTATGGTATAAACTGTACAGAGATATGTTCCGTAGGATGTCAAGACAACTGTAACCATGTTGACGGTTTTTGTAGATGTACTGCTGGGTGGACGGGGTTCCCGAAGTGTACCATTGGTATGAACTTATTAAGAAAAACTAAATATAGGCTCTGACTTTTCTGCAAGAACCTTACATTTTAAATATTGTGCAAAGTAGATCAAGGAATTATCAATAGAAAATAATTTGTCATCAATTTTTTGATTTGATGAGAAATTCTTCATTCACTTTTTTTTTAATTCTAAGAATGTCCTCCAAACTTTTTCGGAATTGACTGCCGACGCCGATGCAGTGGTCACTGCAGTAACAATGACACCTGTAGTAGGCATGACGGGACATGTGAAGGCGGCTGTCAGGAACCATTTATTGGTCGTCTCTGTGATCATCAAAGTTAGTGACTTACAGCCTTGTTGTGAAATTTATTTTTACTGAGGTATCTTATTTACTTGAACGTGTAGAAAATTACTAATGTTGTACATGTTATTCTTATCACGAAGAAGTATATGGTGATAACAAACTAAATTGAAACTCAAAAGTCCATTGAATAATATATATCTAGAACAGAGAAAAGACATACCTCCAAAACATCAGAGGTGGGATCAGGTATCATGGAGGATTGAGTATAACCCCTTTCGCCGATCATAACCGCCATGTGCTCCTTGTCATTATCGGAAATTAACGGAAGAATCCGTCAAAAATGCAGTCTGGAAGAAGGATATGGAGATAACGAACAGTATTCCTTCTCAAAGTCCATAAAACAATACATATTAGGAGCAGCACAAACACGGACCTCCGAAGAGTGAGCATCCCCTGCTGACCGGTCACACCCGCTGTGTGCTCCTTGTCATGATCGAGAAACAACGGAAAATCCGTCGTCAATTCAGGGTATAAATAATGGACTAACAATTAGTAAGGAAAACTTCAGTCAGCATTTGACTCAATGATAAATTGTATTGCTGACCAGGTCATTGTTTCGACCATAGAACTTACGAAATGATGAATTTAAACGAGACTGCTGATATTCTTGTTTCATAAACTTGCTTGTCAATAATTTACCTCGTTTTAGAAATTGTTCGTACGTAAAGCATGCTCTTGCGTATCGAATCGTCTGAGATATATATACTCCATATGCAGGTGATGAAGGTTATTGCTGCATAAGTAAGGGAAATTGACGATAGAAAAGTTAATGTCGTCACGTTTATCATATAGCTTTGTTGTTAGATTACCATTAACGTCTTTTTCGAGTAAAATATCCAAGTATGTGTCAGACTCTGTGGTTTCTTTTATCTCAAGCTCAAAAGGACATATCGTATTGACGTACGTAAGAATGGAAATGACCATTGTTAATTGACAATAGGTCGTCGATATATCTAAATGTCGAATTGAAGGCCATAGCAAGTGTTTCCTTTTTTCACGCATAATATTTTCCATAATTTCTGCTTTATATAATTAAAAAAACATGTCCGCTAATAACTGAGCGCAACGGGTACCCATGGGAATTCCAACAGATTGTTGGAATACCTGGTCTCCGAAAACCACATAGATATTGTTAATCAGAAACTCAAGCATCTCTTTGATGTCAACCTCAGAGTACTTGTGTGTGCAATCAAAATGTGTTTTAACAAAATAATTTTGCAAATCACCAATGACCAGGTAATTGAATTTACGAGTTCCATTTTTATTGAAAAAACAGCTGTCAATGATATCAAAAACCCTGGACTTAATTTATCGTGGGGAATGGTTGTGTATAAAGTTGAAAAGTCGTAAGCTTTAAAGCTGTTGATTTTGGTAAAATCTTTTGATTTCAAATTGTCCAAAAGTTCTTTGGAATTTTTGAATATCCACATCTGATTCACACCACTTCTTGAATGTATTGTTGCAGAGTACTATTGAAGTTTTTCCTTCACTACTGTCAATAGCTTAGTGAGGAGTAACAAAAGAGGCCTGGTTGAACATTTACTGGAACCCGCAATGTATCTTTCTTTGTAAGGAGTTTTATTAAGTTTCGGAACCCAATACACTGTATATATAGGGTAGTTCAAATTCATTTCGGCTCTGTAGAATATTAAAAATATTTAAAACTGACAAATGGTTTTAAAGAATTTCTTCCTTAGAGAGGGAAGTATGAGTATAAGTAGGAGTACCACTTGTAGAACTAAATCCAAGTTCTAATAATAATGGCCTAACAATAACAATTAGGATGAAAAACGTCAGTCAGCACTTGACACAATGATAAATTGTATTTGCTGATAAGGTCATTGTATCGACCATAGAACTTTCGAAAATATGAATTTATACGACCCTACTGATATTCTTCTTTACCAATTTGTTTGTCAATAACTTACCTCGTTTAAAAAATATCATATTTAGACCATGCTCTTGCCTATCGAATCAACCAAGAGATGTAAACCCGTATGCAGGTGATGAAGGCATTTGGCTAAGTAAGGGAAGTTGATGATTGAAAAGTTCGCACGTTTTTCATAAATCTTGGTTGTTAGATAACCATTAATGTTTTTTCAAATGAAATATGCAAATATATGAAAGAGATGTGTCAGACTCTGTGGTATGTTTTATTTAAAACTCATGGAATATATTGTATCGAAATAAGAATGGAAATAACCAATTTTAATTGAAAATACGTCGTCGGTGTATCCAAATGTCGAGTTGAAGCCATCAGTCAGTTTTCTTCTTTTTATGTGTAAGATTTAGAACAGATTCTGCTTCAAAAATCCCTGTTCAAAAATAAACTGATGAAATTTTTTGAAAATATACGAGGGTTGTCCCATAAAGTCGTGGACAATGTTTATAAAATGAGAAATTCTGCCTTCTCACTACAACATGAAAAAAAACCCAGTTAATAAAGCAAAGGGAATATATTTTTTCCCTGTCCACTTCTCTTTGGAACAACCCTCATATGTAGCTCTATGAAATAGAAATTATAATTTAAATAAATCTTTTCAAAGGATTAGAGGAAAGTCTCTTTGAACTTTAATGGGATGAAGGATGTATGGTCACGTGACTCAGTTGATTTACGTCATAATCTCTGATAAAATATGTACAAAACGAGATTGAAACCACAGTATTTGTATAATTTTTTTGACTGTTTGTTTGCGTTCACCATCTAGAATAAAAATATCTGAAAACATTCAAAATTTCTTGCAAATATTATCAAATTACGGAATAGATTAATCCACTCTGCCGTTTCCCTACTCTGCGCGTCCAGTGCGTCTTTGACGTCATAGTGGAACTCTTAGTTCAGTAAGATCATACACGGTAAAAACGGGTAGTATAAAATCATAAAAACGGATCATAATATGTACATGGTAGGGTATTTTGTAAATTTCAGAACGCAAAAAATATTTTTACATGGTTGTTGACGGAAAAGTTCTGTGGGTTTGTCTTATTTCGCTTATTTCAGGAATGTGTGACGTCATAGTTGGGTTTTCCCGTACTCGAGAAATGTAAACATGACACGTTTTTCTCATGATCATCACTCGTTTAACTTTGCCCCGAGCAATATTGAGCTCAGCTTCACCAATCAATATTTTTACAGTTAATCAATACAATGACGACCTTGAACTTCGACGTAAATTTTCAAATATTGAATGATAGGATTTTTTGCAAATTAATTTTTTTATGATTTAAGTTGTCCTAAAAAAGTCGTAAATTTCCGTCTCCAGATGTGGTGTTACAAAAGAATCTTGCTTTTTCGAATTTTTAACCCTATTCATACTCTAAAATATTTTAAAGACACATTTCCGCTGGTATACTTTTTATCTATGGTGAAAATTTTCGATTATCGACCGAGTAATGGACCAAGAAACACGGAGAATAAAAACTCTGCTCAGACACTGTGGGGTATGGTATTTGTCACTCAATATCTCAGAAATAAGTCTGGAAACCTATTGATATGTCTGCTTTATAGTATGTAGGACATACTAAATAAGATATATACAAAATATGAAAAAAATTAAATGACAGGTATTTTTTCAGCTAAAGGTCCTTCATCCCCTTAAATTTGATTTTATCTATGTATGTAGTGAATTCCAGTTTGTTCTGTCAAGAGTCTGTTTATATGAAAGATCAATAGATATTCAGTGTTTGGATATATAATTGGATATTTTATTTGATCGTAATAAATGATTGAATAATCAACTGAGCTTCGATGTTCCATCATCAATTTCAGATTTTACTGAGTATCAAGAAGAAAAATTTTGCGTTTTCAAGCATTTTTCTACTTCGTGGATTGCAGGAATGACCGTTTCTCTTACATCAAATTTATTTGCAATTTTCATTATCATTTTTGAAATACGGTAATTCTTACGCCTATTTTATTTCGCAATTCAAAGTGATCAAGAATTAGAAACAAAAGTGATTTAATTTTTTTAATCACCATTGGTTCATTAAATAAGTTTTGATATTCTAAAATGTCTGCTAGAAGTATTTTAACAATTTGAATGATATAATTATCTATAAGAAACACATTTTGTCTTTCATAGAAACGTATTTATTTTCCAAAATAGCCAGCAAACGTATGCATTATTGGCTGTTTTAATTCTATTTGTATTGGCTGTTTTAATTCTATTTGTATTGGCTGTTTTAATTCTATTTGTAGACACTGTCAATTAAAAGCAAAAGCAAACAAAAGACCAGAAAAGTATATTACAATGACAGATTCAGGAACTTTGAACAATGAAGGCGCAGCTCATCAGTATGAGGAAATAATTAACCCCATTAATTAGGAATTCTTGTAAAATGAATTCTACTGGTGCTCTTCTCTCTCTGTAGAAAGAACAAACTTTTAGTAGTTACAATTTACAATTTATGTATAAGCACAAATAAAAAACGTAAAGTTATAAACTTATCACTGATTATAATAAACATGTGACTTGTAATATGCATTATTATATGTCTCTAAACTTATTTAGTTGGGTAGATTTACATACTGTATGTAGTTTTGATCTTCTTTAAGCTAATCTGTTATTCTCTAACTCTTTTCATCTGACCATCACACTGCTTCCATCGTGACTCTCAATGTTTTGGACATTTTATACAATGTTATCGATAAATGGAAAAAATGTACATATATAAATGGTAAGTTTAATGTTTATTTGTATTCAGCTTTTGCGTTAATAAACTGATGACAGGGAAGCTTATTCTCACGCTGTGTACTAGATGAGGGGTTAATTACAATCAAGAGGAGAGAGGCTGCATAACATCTTTGAGAACATACTCTTGAGTATCGAATAAACACTTTATACAGGAGATTAACTACCTAAATAGGAAAATTTACATAGCATTCTTTGTAAGTTGACCGTTATCTTCTATATTCAGACAAATATCCACCAAAGCTGAGGAGGAAATGTCGAGTTAAGGACATTGCTCTTTTGGAAGAAAACAATATGTTCAAGTTATTTGGAATCACATCATTTGAAGTATAAAATGACCATCCATTTTTATTTCCTTGATCAAATATTAGAATTTATTTACAAACTACATCAAAAGGCATAAATAAGTGAACAACCAGAGCATTCTATTTCAGGGAAATGAGGTTTACAGATTTTTTTATGAAAACTTGTTAAATATTTCCTTCGTTTACTTTGGGTGTGTGTTATTATGTAATGATATCAATGGTTCTAAAGACATTAAGGAAAAAATATTATGATTGCATGAAACCTTGTCAAAAACTGACAATCTTTGCGCGGAAGGAACAATAATTTCTTTTTCAATAATTTTTTTACAAAAATATATTCTTTTATTTTTCACAAAAATATACATGTAAATCAAATCAAACTTTGCTTCTTATCAGCAGTAAATTATTTGGTAGTTTTTTTTAATTATTGCTGGTATTTGCTTAAGATTTCTAGTGGACAACCACGCAGGCTTATACAGAGCAAATACAGCATCAAAAGTTGTAGTAATTCTAATCATGTTTCTTACAATTGCTATCCTAGGAAAATTAATGAACTGTTTCGGATATGGTAAGTAAACTTTGAAACATTGTCAAAGATATCAGAGTCTGATGTGATTGAACCAAAGATAGGGGGTTGGGGTTAAGGTATTATTTGCTTAAGATGTATATTTATAACAATCAAGGAAATACAATTTATATCATAATTTGAATTTTTGATGATTTGTTTGATTGTTTTCTCTAATAACTGAATGAACTTGGCACTAATAATTTTTCATATTGATTTTTTACTGCGTCACAAAGTTCTGTTTATTTTTATGAATGCAATGATTAATTAGGATTTTTAAATTTCTGAAAGATTCTCCTGAAAAAAGGAAAGAGTCAGATATTTCATATATATATACTTTGCTACAAAATTAATTATTTTGATTTTAAAAACAATGGCTGGCTAGTGCTCTTTTGGTTTCTTGTGTTTTGAAAATCTAATTTGAACAATAATGACTGTAGAGAACATGTATTAATGTATAAATACAAACAGTATGTATGCAATAACGGTGGTTCCATTTGTCACTTAATTAATGTACTGTATTTAAAGCAATATGAGCTGCAACTTTGATATCGGAATTTTTTGTTGTAAAATTGTTAATAAGAATTTCAATGACAGAAAAAATAACGTTAATAAATTTATGTTGTTCATACTTGTGATTGAAAAACCTATTTAAAAGCTTTAATTGAAACAAAATTATATTATTGTCGCCCTGTACAATAATGATTTCTTATATAAAACTGTATATTGGATTGTATATAAAAGTCTTCCTTCTGCTTTATTTTAGTGTAATTAATCATAAAGGTTTAAGTTACATACAAATTAATCATAATAACGCATTTTAACAGCAATTTGTTTTTCAAAAATACAGCTCATATTGCTTTAAACATTGACTTGTACATTCAATGAGGTATAACGGCATGCATTTTTATTTTTATTAATAAACCAAAAGTTTATATTTCTATGGAATTACAGAATGAAAGGTCTACATTTCATTATTATTTCCTACAAAAGCGAAATTCGTTTCATATATATACCCGGTAAGCAAGGGAAGTTGACAATAGAAATGTTGAAGTCAACACATTTATTTTGTACTTTTTGCATAAAGTCTGCTTAATATGAATACAAAAAGGTCTGCTAATAAAGGAGCGCAATTGGAACCCATTGGAATTCCGAAAGATTGTTGGAAGACTTATATGAATCATTTTTAATACTAGTATCAACTTCAAAGTGCTTGTGTGCAATCAGAATATTTTTTTTAACAAAATAGTTTTGCAAATGACCAATGACAGGGTAAGCTAATTTCCATTTTGATTGAAAAAGCGGCTGTCTTTGATGTCAAAAAATACAGTGTTTACCAGTTTTTACCAGAATCTTAACACTGTAACATACATCTCAAAGCACTTTTTAAACTCACGTGTTTTTTTTCTCACAAATTAAAGTGACTTTAGTCACATTGTTATAATGCAAAATTGTATAACGTGACAAAATATTTTTAAAATGTTTTATATCTTAATTTTAATCATATTCCATTACTTTAACCATAATTCACTCATAATAATTGGTAGGATTACTTATTTCAACAAAAAGTTCGTAAAATGCAACACATTTATTTTGTAGATTTTGCATAATTCAAACATATCTCCTTAATACAGAAACAGCTAGTGCAGTCCATGTCACTTCTGCTTTTCAATGTTAAAAAGCATATAGATTGCTTGTGTGTGGCATATCTGCTTTCCATGTTAAAAAGATGACATTTTTTAGGTTAACTTCCTGAAATCTAGCATCATGAAAGATACCTTCCAAGCAAAATTTCAAAGTTTCAGACCCTAAATGTAAAAAGAATTTTCTTTTCAATATTTAAAATTTTACTATGTTGAAAGATAAACAATACTTTACTATCCTATCCTTTCACATGATATCATTGCATATTGACAAAACCAAGCCAAATATGGAAAATTTGCAATGTACCTAGAAAAATACACATCTTTAAGAAGTCAACCAAATAGTATCAAAAAATTCGATTAATTAATCTGTGAATACCTTTGATAGAATCATACACATTGAACACTATACAATATATAAACAAATCCCCATTTAGAACGTTGACTTTAAGAGAATATGTACATTTTACATGAAATATCTAATAATATAATGGTTACGTCTCGTACCGAAACTCGAGAATTTTAAGTTTTATTGCAAGAACAATGTGACTTTAATTTGTGCGAAAAACCACATGAGCTTAAAAAGTGCGTTGAGCTGTATACATGTTTGATAAAGTACTGATGACTTTTTAGATAACTTGTCGTACGGTCGATCAGCAGTTCAAAGCTCGACGTATACATGCTTCTGGTTCCGGGGTCGGAACTGTACTTCATCTACGTATATAGCTTCTAAAGCAGTGGATGGTTACATTAGTACTTGCACAAGGACCGAGTACATTGGTTTGAATAATGCATACGACAAGGTTTGGTGGTACGTTGACTTAGGTGGTATCCGCAGCGTGTATGATATCAGAATACGGTTCAAGGATTATAAAGACGAACATGGAAATTTGTATTGCAAGTATTCCATTTCAAACACGATTATCTTTGCAAGTTTTTATATGCTGTTTTATCTTTTTCAAAATTAGTTTAATAATCACAGACGAATGATATTACATATAATAAGGTGATTTTTAACAAATAAAATATTAGCAACTAATTTCAATATTTTCCTATTTAAAGTTTAATATTTAGTAACTAACGATTTTTAGTGACGAGACAACGGAAACGCCTGGCGGGATTTTCTCTGTATATTTCCAATACATCTCGACGAGAGGATGGATACTTGTGTTATGAAGATTTGTCAACATTAGGGTTGCCAGACCTGGATTTCAGTACAAGGTGCATTAAATATGGACGTTTTGTCATCTTTTACAACGAACGAATGGACCAGAAATTTTATTCTTCGTCAAGATATGAAAACCCTGCTCTAACAGAGTTATGTGACGTAGTTGTGCAAGGTATGTTACCTCTTGTGTTACATACCTCTCTGTACATCCCGTGAATTTCACTCTTGCTATAATTTAGCTCACCTGAAACTACTTTACTGTTAATTTTATGAACCTGAGGATCGGACTACCTTAATATTATATGTTGTAATTGCAGGTTGTTATCGAACAGGGGTATATGGATATAGCTGTGATATCAACTGTCCGACCAAATGTCAAGGCCGGAGATGCGACATAGTTAACGGATATTGTCTTGGGTGTACAGAAGGATGGTCAGGATCGAATTGTAATCAAGGTAGATGGAATTCTAAGAATTATATATCAATTGCGATAATCGAATAATGCACCAATAGTTTAGAAAATGGACATAAATTTAGAGTACTATCAACGTTACTTGATATAAGATGCTTTCAAAATCTTTTCACTTCCATTATTTCAAAATAATTTGAAAACAATCAGCTTGTCCCTCCGGGTGGTATGGACTTGAGTGCAAATTAAGCTGCTCCGGAAACTGCAGATACAGCGACATCTGTAATCACGTGACAGGGAGGTGTGACAGAGGATGTGCTTCAGGATGGAAAGGCTCTCATTGCAACAAACGTAAGATATGTATTTATATATACCTATTGTGGATATTGCATTTATTAAATGGATAAAACTTAAATTATTCAACACTACTGGTCGGAACTACTTTTGACACGTCTCTCGCTTCAATACTTCAATATAAGTATTTGGCACTTTTGATTGTGAATGCCCTTTTCTCATTGATAAGGTCTTTTATAAAGTGTAAAAATGTAGAATCAAATAAAAAATATATACGCACTTTGAAAGAAACAATTTAATGATATTTTAAAAAAAAATGAAATTCTAAAGACATATATTTTACTGTGATGCAAAGACATCTTTAGTTATTAAGGACAGACGAGACGTTCCTTAATAACAGATAAATATTTGTTAGAGTTTGTCACTGAAATATTGCTACTTAAACATGTTTACTCACAAAAAATTGAAGTACCTTACCAGGCATTTCTGCAAGATACCAGGAGTAGTATTTCTTATTTAATCCTTTGAGGAAGAAAAATAATTTTCCAATTTCAAATGTTTAAGTGTTTGGATTTTTTAAAAACGTTTAGAAACTGATTAAGAAGTCAGAATGTTATTAAAATTTTAAATATTTTTCATACATTACGAAGATATATAAAACAGGTTTTGAGGAACGTCTCGTCTGACCTTAAAAGAGTTATATCCAGTAAGTTCAAAAGTTTAAAATTCGATGGCCCTTGAATCTGACTAAGGGTTTGGCATGAAAAGTTTGAAATGATAAGAAGTTTGATAGTCTAGTCCCATTTGGAAAAAATGGTTTCTGATATATTTTAGTCCTGAAATGTAAGAGAGTGATGCTGTTGTTCCATCTTGGACAAAAGTTTGAACTCTGGAGATGTCAATAAACTGATAAACAATCAGTTTATCACCATGGCCTTTGCTTCTCCCTTCACCCCTGTAATATGTACCAGAAGCTGCAAAGTTATTCTATAGCCATTCTGTACTATTCGGACAGCTCTCTGGTGTACTAACTGCAGCTTGCTGATGTCCACATTATGTGGGTCCCTAGTATCTTATATAAGATGGGGATTGGTCTTATTATGACTTTTTTGATGTCATGCTGCAAAAAGTTCTCATTCGTTGATCTGGTTGGTATACTGAGTCCATTTCAAGCTCTTGTGGATATTACCTCAAGGATACTTGACAGAGTCAACCATTTGGAGGATGTGTCGGTGGGTGTTCTACACGTTTCCTTTTGTGACATGTAGAACTTGACATTTCTTAGGGTTAAAATCCATTAACCAGTTGCCCTCCTTAATACAATAGAGTTTCTAGGTCTTCTTGAAGCTTGATGACATTCTCTTCCTTTATGAGTACCCAACAGGGATTTCATCCGCTAACAGTCTTGCTACTGATCACTCCGAGGGACAATTCGGTAGGACATTGATAACAAGAGGAACAACAATGATCCACTGGACATGACATGAACGACAGCAATGGGCATGGTCCCGCAAGTATATTACACTAAGGGACTCCCGATTGGACTGGGCTTGTTGACGATAAATCACACTTGGTCCTATTTAGAAGAGAAAATTTCTTTATCATCTATGAAATATGTTAACATAACCATTATTCGGTCCATTTAAAAGTACAAGAAATATTACAAAATAGGAAATGAGCATGTATGGACCTCCAAAACATCAGAGATGGGATGAAATGCCACAGAGAAGTGAGCATCTTCTTCTGACCGGTATTTCAGATGAAGTATCTAATCCCATTGTGATCATTGTACGAATTAAAGAAAGCATCTTTACTTACACCATTATTTATATTTGCATGGTTCAGCCGAATCGTCAAAATTGTGTTTATAGCTCAATAAGCTTCGATAAGATATACAATGTTTCAACCCATTGGTTTGATTAAACAAATGTGAAAATATACTCTGTACCCTTAAAAGGGTGGTTAAATACTCGTTCGAGTTCAGATACTGTAAATCACGTTATATTCGCGAGAACTTAATTTTCGCGTAATTACGCGAGACAATGAGCTCGCGAAAATTTCATTCTCGCGTTTAAAAGTATTCCTTACGATTATATAGAGGAAAAACAACAATTCGTGAAAATTATGTCTCGCTAATAAAGAGTCAATGACTATCTCGCGAAAATAAGGTGTCGCGAAAATTTAGTGATCTACAGTACATTAAAAAAGAATGATATTTCAACGATGAAAAAAGCATTTAATTTGAATGAAAATACATTTATAAAGTTTCCTTGATTTTTAAGAAAATAAGGTTATGTTTTAAAAATTTAAAATTTCCTAAGTTTATTTATAGTTTTTAATTCAAATTAAGCTCTTCTTCCCGAATATGACATCCCTTGAATTAGCAAGTGCTAATACGGATGTATTTCTGACAACTTCTTCTCAATTCATTCTCACTTTTCCAATTATTAAAGCAGAAAATACTAAATTTAATGAAGTTTAGAATTTTAATGCTTTAAATCATATTTGACCAAAATAATTTCCGGCATGAAAACAAACATTTAAGTTTTAATTATTTTATCTTATCTTCATTTCCTGTATTAATTTTGAAAACTAAAGGAAAGTATTTCATAACTGAAACAAATAACTTCTTCCTTTTAATTTTTTACAATTCCAACAGTTTTCTTTCTAATGAGGAAGTTCTTCAAAATTATATCTCGATTTTTTTTTTTACATTTTTTAATATTCCGACCAACAAAATTGAATTAAAATTTGTTTCATATTTGGATGTTTTACAAGAAAGAAATTAATGGCAAACTTACATCGAAATTTAAGTGAAACTAACATCAAACCTTTATGATAAACTTGATGACTTCATTTTCTTTCGCCAGCCTCCCTTACTTACGCAGCAAAATACCCTATCATCTGCATGTGAGAATTATGTCTCCAAGTTGATTCGAAATGTTTCCCATATCTTCTAAAATAAGGCAGATTACTGACAATGAAATACAGATCCCTACACGTCTTAAACTCACATGATTATTTGCATAAATAAAGGTAGTCCGATCCTCAGGTTTATAAAATTAGCAGTTACTCATAAAAGTATCTCTGAGTCCACAAAGTTATGTAAATTTATCCACTGTATTTCTTTAAAGTTAATCAAATTATATAGGGAAAATTGTCAAATATCCAATATTTGTGCATAAAAAAGCGAATTGGAATATCAACAATACATTTTCTAGTTGCAAATTGATCAATAAATATATTTTAGGTTAAAAAATTATAGGTATCCAGGCATTCAGAGAAATTTTCAAATTTCACAAATTTCAACTTTTATAAGACCTTTTCTAAGACTTCCAAAATACCTTGAATCTTATAAAGATGAATAAAATGAAAATTGTTGCATGAAAAAATTTGTTTTTCAAGCTTCATTTTGATGCATTTCAAATTAAATATTAAGTTTTGGAGTTATTCTTCCTGGCTGAGGATCGGATATCCTTAAGCTTGCATTGTAACAATGCGAATTTGTGTAACAACGAAACAAAATATATCATCTTTAAAATGATTTTCATCTAAATTTTAATTTTCTTTCAATTACTTAAGACATAATTTACACAAATAAATTGGTAAGATTTTGATATGCTCTTGTAATTGGCTGATGAATTGTGATAGTTTTCAAATTGTTTTTCATGGTTTCTTGTTCAATGCTGCCGTCTATGTATCCGTTTTTTGCAAGCAGTTCTTTGCCTTGTCTAGACACGAATGTAACTTCTGAATTTCTATGCATTGCCATGTCTCTTAAACGCAAGATGATAACAGTAATTTTCATCTGTTCGACTTTTTTTACATGTTAAAAAGCTTGTATTTTTAAAAGTTACTTTCTGCAATCTAGCATCATAAAATTTACGCCACATCGTAAAATTTGTAAGTTTCAGACCCTAAATGTAAAATCGTTTTCTATTCAATAATATTTACATTCAGTGTAATTTTCTTTATGAAATCCATTAGAAATCTACGACGTTCAAATCTCTAACACATACGAAACCTTGTCACCGCGCGTAAGAATACACAGTAGGAACTATATGCTTTTTCAATACCTTAGAATATCAAAATATGCATTATTTTGACTGAATTTAATTCAAGAACTATAACCCTGTTAAATTAACGTAAAAAACAACAAATGTGCGTTTATGATTAATTTGTCACTTTTTTTCCTCGCAATGTTCGTTTGCGTTATTTAACTTTACAACGTCACAAACATCAAAAACGGCTGTTACGTTTATAAAGTACCCCAGTTTTGCAGGGCGCTAAATTCACATTAAAAATTACCGAAATAAACAATTATGAAGAGGAAAAATTAAAGAATGTAAATATAAGCATTGAATTCATATTTTGGGATGTTTTCGGTCGTATAACACACCTGGCCGTGCCGACAAATAATCATACCGCACTAACGCGCGGTATTCAATTTGTCGGCACAGCCAGGTGTGTTGTACGACCGAAGACATCCCAAAATGTGAATTCAATGCTTAAGTAACAATTTACCATTTTAAGGGATAAATCATCTGTTGGAATATTTTTAGGCAGCATTGTCATTTTTCTACACCACATATTGATAAAACCAACACGACTATGGCAAATGTGCAAAGTACTCAGAAATTTCCTTATATTTAAGAAGTCAGTTTGATTGATCGAATATTGTTTAACGCCGAGTCGGCATTTTTCCCGCCATATTTCGGCGGGAGAAGTCAGTTTGAAAATTTCAGATAAATAGTATGAAACACGTATGGTAGAATCATACAGATGTAACATTATGCGATATATTTATAAAGTCCACTTTAACAATTCAACTTTGAAAACTTGAGAAACTGAATTTAAAGAATATGCACCTTTGCCATGAAAATATATAACACATATTTGACTAAGGTCTTGTAATTGAGTTCGATAATGTTAAAGTTTTATTGCTAGATGAATGTGACCTTAATTTGTACGAAAACCATACAAAATAGTAGAAGGGCAAACACGGGCCTCTTAAATATTAGAGTTGGGATCAGGTGTCATAAAGGAGTGAGCAGAAACTCAAGCATCCTTTTAAAATTAACTTAAAGTACTTATGTATACAATCAGAATGTTCTAAACAAAATAATTTGAAAAGGACCATTGACAAGTTAAGTATAATAGCGATTTACTTTTTTATTAAAAAAAACCGCCACCTGTTTATGATTTTATAAAGCTTGGATTAAAATTTATCGTGGGGATGGTTTATTAATTGCAAAAATAAGGTATTCAATGGTTTTGAACAATTTTAAGAAGGACATGGAGATAACGAACTGTATTCAATCTCAAATTCCATTAAATAATACAAAATAGGAGCAGAGCAAACAATAGAAGTGGGAACATGGAAATAATGGTGGTTCTTCTTTTGAATAATAAAACTAGAATGAAAAACGTCAGTCAGCATTTGACAATGATAAATTGTATTTGCTGACAATGTTATTGTATCGACCATAGAACTTATGAAATGATTACTTTAAACGAGACTGCTGGTACTCTTGTTTCATCAACTTGCTTGTCAATAATTTACCTCGTTTTAGAAAGAGTTCATATATAGAGCATGCTTTTGCGTATCGAATCAACTGATATATATATATATATATATATATATATATATATATATATATATATATATATATATATATATATATATATAGAAAGCACAAAGAAATTCACTTTTACATGGATACCCACTTCCGTCCCAGCCCGGGGTTGAACTCTCGACCTTCGGAATCTATCTCCTAGCAGTGCAAGTACAGCGCGCTAGACCGCTCGGCTATCTAGGCAAGTCAAAAAACTTGCTTTCGATGCCGATGGAATTCTCGCGGCACTGTCCTACACTACACGGTCATTGAGAATAGAAGTGAGATAC